TTCCAGTTGAACTTGCGAGGCTGCCCCTTGCGGATACTAACGACCTGTGGTCCTGGAACGACGGTAGCCGGTTCAGCTTCCTCGGACAGATTGGCGGTAGATACAGAGGCAGAGAGGTCATTGTTGGCGGCCTTCAGTGCATCAATAGCGGACAGTGACTTTTCCTTGCCGTGGGAATAGATGCCAAGGCCATTGGCACCCCGATTGCCTTCGGTTGAATTGGCCTTGTAGAGCTCTTGAATCTGATGCACCAGTTGATTGTTCAGTTCGGCCAACTGAGCATTCTTGGAGGACAGTTGCTCGAACTCCTGAAAGCTCTTGTCCTTCATGCGGTTCAAGTTGGCAAGCTCTTCCGCTGCGTCGTTGCGTTTTTGAACCAGCTCCTCGATTTGTGGTGTAAATGACTCCTTCAGCTTATGGAGCGACTCGACAAAGTCGCGCAGGACCCTGCTGGTAATTTTTCCAAGGTCAAGAGGCCCGCTGGCGCCACGTTTCTCCGCTTCTAAGTGATCGGTTAAGACGGAGAGTTCTCGCATGACGATCTCCTTTTTCGCATCCAGAACCACCATCGTGGACCGCTTCTCGTTGAGCTCCGTGTTCACCTGCTTGACGTCGGCCGTCGCGTTGAGGACAGCTTCCATTTCCGCAATCTTCTGTTCCTTCTCCAAGACACGTTGACGTTCTTTGCGTAGTTCGCTTCTGAGCCACGCCACTTCATCTGAGTGCGACGGCCCCGGGGAACCCGAGGGGCTACCAGCATCGGGAACGGGTGTGGTACCATTGACGGGGGACTTGGGCCACTTGGCATCCTTCGATACGCGCGAGCCCTTATCGCTGAAGCTTCGGCCGTGCCGCACAGAGTTCGACACGCGTCGCAAGAAAGATTCGCTGTTCTGAGCAGCATGCGATTCCTCTGGTCCCATGATCCGGGCCATATCTTCTTCCAGGGAGAAATCGCCCCCACCGCTGTACCGCAACAACGACGGCGACCCTGGAGTGTGCGTGTCCGATTGCAGAGTGCTAATCGAGCTATGACGGGCATGCTGTTGGGACGGCTCCGCATTAGCATCATTGCGGGGAGTACGAGGCGATTCGCCAACTTTCGGGGTGTTTTTCTTGGAGGCCGTTTGCTCCGTGGCCCGCTCAATTCCATCCTCGCTTTGAGTGACGGAGGGCGGTCGAGGTCCGAGTTCTTTTCGGGAAATATGATGGTGTCGTTTTTCCAACGAATCTCCTCGCTTCGGATGAGGTTGCACGATGCTTGAAGACGGAAATGAGCGCGTAGAATCTACCGACCCGCCTTTCTCATGCAGCTCACGAAGCTCGTTCGACGGACGAGACGGGGCGGTCACAGAACTATCCAGGGTTCTCGATCCTGCAGAGTCAACGGTTGAACTGTCCTTGAATTGCGCGCTCGACTTGGTAGACTCAGGACTTGGTGTAGAAAAGGTGCTGGTCTCCTTGAGATTGATGGGTAGATCAGCTCTGGAGCTCCGGTTCGACGTGCCCCGCTGGAGATTATCAGTAGAACGAGGTGATGCGCTTGCACTGGCTGCGACATCGTCTCCACGCCAGCGACTGGAGTCAACGTCAGTCCGTTCCCGTCCTCTCTCCTGGTACGCGATATGGGGTGACGCGCTCCCAGCCGGAGGATGGTGGCTATTAGTCGTTGGAGGTGACTGAGTGCGCGAGGACCGTCCTTCTTCCGAGGGGTCAAATGCGACAGGTATGAGGAATTCTCCTCCGGTCTCCGGTTCCGCTTCACGTGGTACGACTGAGTGACGGTTGCTTCGGTAGGTGCTCGAGGGGAGTATCAGATTATCCGCTAGTATGTAAAGTCAGTAATCGGAGCGTGTGATTCGTATACTCAAGTCATGAGCTTACCTTGATTATCGGTGTGCTGGCGAGAAATCGGGGGGCGCTCATTCCTCCCACTGTCCGGGGCCCCACGAGATATTGCTTCATCCAGATAATGATCCAGGATCGAGTCATCTGGTGCGCGATGCGACTCAGGTTCTTCGGGCGGAAGGGAGGGCAGCGATTTGTCAAGCTTCACGCCCGGCCCTTGCTTTTTACTAGTGGGTACACCAGCCTTCTTCTTCCTCCGGCGTTGCATTAGCGATTCATGGCAGTCCATACAGAAGATGCCCTGGGAAGTTCGCGCATAGCGCAAGTTCTCAATTTTCCTCTTGCAGTTTCGGCACCGGAAGCACTGAGCGCAGAAGGCTTGTTCACCCGTCAAAATGGCCAAGTCCTCAATCTTGTTTCCACATGAGCTACAACTGTAGGTACAATTGCTGCAGATCAACGATCCGTCTCCGAGAAGCAGTAGGTGTGCGTCCGAGTCGAGAAGGGTGCCGCATGTGCTGCAGCAAAAGCATTCGATATGCCATCGGTTGCCCGCTACGGGAAGAAGCTGTCAGCGAAGTTCCGTGCATGATGGTGGCCGTATCGGCCAATGCAACTCACCAAGTTCAAAAGCCTTGCCCTCCTCAAGGATCTGTCCGGTGGAAGGTTAGAAGTTAGCGCGCGAAAAGTTGCCCCTAGTTCGAATAGAATTCGCGCATACCTCTCCGCAACCCTTGCAGGGGAAGGGAACATCATCTTGTTCCATAGGAGACTCCGGAAACATGCCTGGAGACTCCATTCTGCACCTTGATACTCGATTGACGCGTACAAGCGATTGTATAAGCGGAGCGCGAAAGCGTCTCCGAATGCTAGGAGGCGAAAGACTGGCGCGCCTTCAACGTTATATGCACAATCGTAGGGAAACAATCAAGTGGTCAAGCGCGGCTGGAGCATCCGGAACGAAATCTTTCGCAAATCGCAAGACAAGCTTGATGACGACGCTTGAGGTACAGTCGAACAGGCTGACGGCGAACCAAGCGAATCGGGCAAGGTCAATTAGGAGGGGCCGATACCAGATTCAACCGACTCCAAACCACAGGCTGTAGATTATGCTGAATCAGAAAATCATGGATAATTGGGTCGTGGTAACGATAGCGAGGGCTCAGAAACGACCCGCTGTTTATCAGGGATAGAGGGGTTTTGGAGGGAGGGAAGCGGAAGAAATGGCTTGATATGCTAGGAAGTGGGAGAAAATGTCAGCTAAGGAACAACGACCGTACTTCAAGAGGGAAGGTAACAAGGGTGCAGTTGTAAGCTAGTAGGCGAGATGAGTTGTAAAGCAGATCTTAGACGCACATACCCCAGACTCAGCCCAGGGCCTCCCATGCAGACAACATCCGCCTTGGATCCCTGGCCTGTGTCCCACAAATGAACAACAGAACAGATAGACAGGGGGGGGGGGGAGTGATCGACCCCGGAGAGGGGTGACGGAAAAGGATTTGGGGCGGTGATGCGAGATCATACTTACAGTGCAGAGAAAGAGGTTTAAAGGGGGTTGAGAAAACAAACGAAAAAAGGAAAGGAATCAAGACGAAACACGCCTGGCGAGAAGGATTAGAATAGACAGGTAGATGGAAAGATAGTAGACAGGACAGGGCAGCCTACCTCAGCAGAAGCGATGCAATGTGTTGTTTGTTGGGTCAGGGAGAACAGAAAGTGTCTAGACTAGTAGATAGCCAGATAATAGCAGTACCGACAACTCTGGGAGATTGTTTCAGATAAACTCGGGCGGTGTACCAGCAGAAAGGCGGAATGAAGTCTCGACTGTCCTCGAATTTAGATAGAAAAGTAAAGTAAACACGTGGGCGGAGGAGGATCAGCTATTACAATAAGAATGATAATGCTGATAGGATTACCTCTCTATCGACGGAAAGATCAAGAAGAAGAAAAGACAGAAACAGAGACGGAGGGAGGAGAGGAAAACAGAGATGGTACGGTAGACACACAGGAGGTTGGATACAGGCACAAAAGCGAAGGGATGAAATAATATTAAATGGGAGGGATGAGGCATCTCTGTTACTGTTGTTATTTTGCTTCTATCTATGTACTAGAATACTAGATACGACTGGCCTCTTGCTAATCCTCTAATAATCCTCTATTCATAGTGATAAAATCATAATGGACATTGTTGCCAACCAGATCAGTTGGATGAAACTCTCCAGCCATCTACCGTTGTTCCAGGTGATGCTATAAATATGCCCGTCCTTCATCCCCTCCAGAATGATTCAAATTGTTACTAAATATCGTTATTTTCTACGCCGCGCAGTACCATCTATTGGGTATGTAGAGGGAAATGCGTCGTACAATTTAACAACATAAGGTCATGGCATACACTAGGCTGCCTGCATCGCAGGATCATGATCCAATACCTCTCTACTTACCTGGACACAAAGATCAACTTGATAATGGCCAAGCCGGTAAAGTAAAGTATACCCTTTCACCTCTTCGGCCCTAAATCTCATCTCAATATCTAGGGTCCGCCGTAAAGCGAGTCTGATCAGAGGCTGCGACCGTCCCGTTGTTCTCTGACAATCCTGAAACAGCCGCTCCAGCTGTGCCGCCCGCTCTGACCATTTGGAAGGACCAGTATCGTCCACAAGAGATAACCGAGACTGAGGGCCATGGGCCTAGCCAGTCTGCTCTCTCACAAGTCACAAACTGGACAGATCCATTTCTTCTCTCCATCAGCTGGTCTGGACACACGGGAAGGCTGAAACGCTGAGGAAGAAAGAAATAAAATAAAATAAAAGAAGGACAGAGGCATGAAAGTAGAGGAGAGGCAATAACAATATGCATGGTTTGGATCAGGCACAAAGTGGACTAAATTGAGGTTCTGTACCTGAGGTACCTGAATTAATAAGGTAGGTTGTTGGACGCTGGTTATGAAACGGCTCCTGAATTCAAAGTTGCTCTATTGGCTAATGTCTATACTGTCAGATTATCAAACGATATCGAAAGGGATATATGCTATACTTTTCGCCAGCCGTTACGACCATCAAATCCAGTGTCCCACAGTCCAAACAGAAGACATGAGTGTATATACGAATCCCGATATAAGCTTCTTTCCGTGTCCCTTATATTTGAAAATCATCTCAAGTCTCCAGCGATTGGTGAATCACACTGGTCCGGTATGTCTCGCTCCGCTGGATCAGCTGTTGGTGTGTACCTTGCTCAATGCATCTGCCGTCTTCGATCAAGAAGATCTGATCCGCTCGATGAATGGTATTAAGTCGATGAGCGATGGCCACTACTGTGGTCCGGCCTGCCAGGGTCGCCAGCGCTTCCTGAATTCGCTTCTCCGACTCCACGTCTAGCGCGCTTGTGGACTCGTCCAGCAGCAACAAGCGCGGCTTGCGCACCAGTGCGCGGGCGATCGACAGTCGCTGGCGCTGTCCACCCGAAAATTGCTTGCCGTCATGGCTGCACATCGTCTGATACCCCTGGGGCAGAGTCATGATGACGTCGTGAATGTTGGCCATGCGGCATGCCTCCTCGATCTCCTCTTGTGTGGGCTCATGGCCTGGGCATGCGCCAAGTCCAATGTTGAAGGCGACGGTTCCCTCGAAGAGAACGTTCTCCTGGGGAACCAGCGCAATATCATCGCGGAAGTCCGTCCCGATCTGACGAGTGACGTCGACACCGTCGATGACCACCGCACCGGCATTAGGCCGGTAAAACCTCTCCAGCATGGCAAACGTGGTCGATTTGCCTGATCCGCTAGGCCCCACTAGAGCACAAAACTGGCCTGGTTTGATGTCGATATTGAGACCCTTCAATACCGGGCGTTCTGGGCGATGTGGATAAGTAAAATTGACGTCGCGCAGTTGGGCGCCCATGCCACCCCTTTCAGTGGCCCGTTGCCGTGCGGAGCGAGCATATTCCTGCGCCTCAATGTCCTGCACTGCGGCTTTCTCCTCGAGAAGGGTGCTGGAAGGCTGGAAGCTGTGAGAGGATCCAGGTGTCACCTCATCCTCTGCCGAACGAGTAGTCAGCAGTTCAACGATATTGGACGAAGCCACCCCGGCTTTCGAGATATCCGGCGCAAGGGCGAACATCTGCCCACAAGACTGCGTGCTAAACAACAGAGCTGGCATGACAATGAAAAATTGCGTCTGGGAATAGCGACCCTCGGCGATCTGTTTCGAGCCCCACCAGTACGCCAGCGCATAGACCAAGTTGCTGATGCTAAATGCCAATGCTAACCATGCATTTCCGTGGAACGTGGCTTTGATGGTGGCCTGGTAGGGACCTTGCAGTGCACGACCGTAAACCTGGTACGATTGCTTTTCCAGAGAGAATGCAGAAACTGCGCGGATGTTGTCGACGGCCTCGATGGTGACCGCTGTAGCTTTCGCAAACGCCTTCTGATGACGTTCGGCGAGTTGTTTTTGCACTCGGAGCTTCATCATGCCCGACACCAGTAAGACTGGAATTGTTGGAAACAATACAATCGTGATCTTCCAAGCGATTGCGAACGAGATCACTAGACCTGCTATCAAGTTGACCGCAGTCGCCAGTAGGAGCCCTATGGTCGTGCCGGTAATGCCACCCAACGCGGACGCGTCACCAGTGATGTACGTTAGCAAGGTCCCAGGAGTGCGATCCTCCGATTCGTGCCAATTCACGGTTTGGCCCAGTAACGAGCGTAAAGACAGCACTCGAATTCGATACAACACTTTATCGGCAGCCCAGCCGAAAGCACAGCCACCCACCACATTAGCACCAAATTCCACCAAAGCGAGGATGAAGAAGAGTAATCCGTAGAGATTGCCATCGTGGCTGATGGCTTCAGCCGATCTGCAAGGACTCAAACTTCCAACCGTGTGACCAAATACAATAGCCTCTGCCGAGTAGCTGCCGCCGATAATGACAGACATGGCAAGACCTAGCATAACCCAATGCAAGTTGGGACGGATCAAGGCGAATGTGTACCGTGTGACGAACCCCGCAGACCGTGTTCTCTTCTTTTTCTTTTTGGCTTCCTCCTCACTTCCATCACGAGAGTCTGGCGGTGCGTCGGCAACAACCGTGTCCTCCGTGATGTCTGACCCGTTAACGTCAGCTAAAGCTTGTTTTTCGTCCAACAACTGTCGTGTTTCCGGAGTCGTGTTCAGTTCACTGATCATGTCCCCCGAGATTACCCTATCGTCCACGGATAGCTTTCCCAGGTTCTGAAGCCGCACCATCTCTGCGTAGACCCCTCCCCGCGCAACCAAGTCCGTGTGGGATCCTTCCTCGGTAACACGGCCACTCTGGACCACGACGATCTTATGCGCATTTTTGGCTGTTGCTAGCCGGTGGGCGATCGATACAGTCGTAACTCGCTCGGATACCTTGTTCAATGCAGCCTGGATAAGCTGCTCACTGGTCGAATCAAGGGCCGCAGTTGCCTCGTCTAAAATCAACAGACATGGTTCTCGAACCAGGGCACGGGCGAGAGCAATTCGTTGCTTCTGGCCACCGCTAAGCTGATTCCCTGCTGTACCTACGTTTGTGGCGAGACCGTAGGGCAAAGCTTCAATAAAACCCAGCGCATTCGCATTGGCAGCCGCGTCTTTGACCAAATCCACAATCTCGGAGACACAGCTGTCGTACTCGCGGAGTGCTTCTTTCTCTGAAACGCCTCCTCGAACTTTTTCGGCAAAATCGGGCAGACTCGAGTCGAGGATAAAGGGGGCGAGTCGCTGATGCCGCTCCACCGCAGACGAGACTAAGCCATATGCAATATTTTCCAGAATGGTACGATCCAGCAACGAAGGTTCCTGTTGTACAAAACCGATATTCCCACGCAGGTATCTAACGTTGATGTCCCGGAAATTTTTGTCACCGATCAGGACATCCCCTGAATCAGGATCGTAGAAGCGTTCTAGAAGCGCGACGACTGTGGACTTTCCACCGCCAGAAGGACCCACAATAGCTGTATGCTTTTTTGGTGGGATGTTGAAAGTCACGCCTTGCAGGACTGGGACATCCGGGCGCGAGGGATACGTGAAGTGAACATCCCGAAAGCGAATATCCTCCTCACCGAATGCGGCAGTCTTATCGCCTGAATCAGACGTCCCATCAATGGCAGAAGGCCTGTTGATCACCTGCAAAAGTCTCTCTGAAGCGCCTGCAGCCGAGGCGAACACGTGGATGAAGGGGCAACCTGACTGAGAATGAAAGAGGCGTCGATGAGGACGAAGATAACGGTGTAAACCGCACCGACAGAGGCTCCAGAGTTTCCGTCAGCCACCGATTTTGAAATCATTTGGGACCCTTCCCAGAATGCCAGGGCGTTGGCGGAATAGGCAATGAAGTAAAGACAGCCCAATTGTGCCGCGTGAGTAGTAGCTTTTCGGACGGCATCTTTCCTCGATTGCAAGAGGTAGCCGGCGAAACGCTTCTCGAGCCGGTCGTTCGCATTGAAGGCATGAACAAGTGTCAGATGCGACAAACTGGAGGAAGCTATGGATGTGGCCGCATTGACCTTGTCGGCCAGACGACCCGCAAATTTCTTTATATAATGCCCCCACCAAGTGCCATCAAGAAGAAACAAGGAACGACAGAGACCAGCATGCCTGCAATCTTGGGCACTTTGATGAAGGCAACCACATAGGCGGCCACAAAGTATGACAGGGTTGAGATGACAAGTCCCACCTTCTCCGATGTGCCGGACTGCACAAGTTCAATGTCGCTTACCAGACGCGAAACAACGTCACCAGAAGGAAGTGATTCGATGAAGTTGGCCTCCTGTTTGATTATACTCTCAAAGTAACGGCGACGGTAGCGGCGTGCCAGGCGCTCACTCACCAAACACCAGCAAGTGCTGTGGGCGTAGATGAAACAAAAGTTTGCGATTGTGATGTAGATGACATACAACACCTTCGTCCGCACAGCCGAGGAGAGGTCCGCAGAAGCGCGATCCGAGGAGCTGCACGTCACCGTATTCAGGTCGTTGATGAGGTCACCGAAGACGATACCGAGTAGAGGGAAGGGAATACCGGCGCAAATGGCGAAAAATAAGCCCCCAATTATGAGCAGAACATCGGCGATCGTGTAGTCTAAGGAGAAGAGGAGTCGCAAATAGGCGAAGGACTTGCCCAAGTCGTCCTTGGCGGGAATATACCTGGTCACTTTTTGCATCTTTTCGAGAAGATAAGACAGGGGGTCAGCTTGTTCTCAGATCCTCAAGCACGAGAGAAACTATTGACGTACGACTGATGATGCGTGAGTGCCATTGGCGCCATTGGAGCCTTTTTGGCCACCATTGACTGGCGGTGACTGTGACATGATCTCCGCGAAGCAGAGAATGTCTGGATACCGCAAGCTCAATCAGAAGATGCGGGACGGCAGAAGTGTGGTTGCCTGCAGAATTCGTGGATCGTGGTAGTCGCTCCGTGATGCCAATTCAGAGTCCAAGTCGGTAGATTCGTGACGACACAAGTACAGCCCATGCACTGTTGTACTCTGCATTAATTGATTCGAAGTTGCTTTCCAATGGTCATGTCTTGCAGGAAAACGTGCGGAGGATATGGTCGTCTGCAGAGGAGCTTTCTAGCTCAGGGACAAGAGCCTTGACGAGCGTGAGCTCCCAGAAAAGGCGATTTCTCACCGATAAGCCAGGTAGGTTTCTTGTCAGATAGACATTTTAGGAGCATCTCAAGATCGACAGGACAACACTGAGCTTGAAGATGAAACGTTGACTTAAGATCCGGTGATTGAACACAACATACTATGAGAGATTGCTGTGAGGGAAAGCAAAAAGACAAGGAGACTATACCAGATATGAGGAAGAAGAGAAAGAAGAAACGATGAGGGACCACCTGCTAATCTACAATTGGCATATGGGGCGACAGACACTGAAAGGGGAGGGGAATCCTCCCATGGCAATAGCTCCGGTTGCGGCGCCGATTAAAGATTTGGTCCTCAGGTCCCGTTGACGCCATGGCCAAAGAGACACAAGGAAGGACGAAGAAAAAGAGGGTCCCATTGTGCAGCTGAGTGGAGGAACTCAGGGAAAAAAGAAGCAGCTAACGGGAAAATGAGAGGCGATGAGAGAAAAGACAGAAGAAAAGAACCCCACTTTGGCCGCAGCGACGGGGGGTAAGAGAGTGACTTGTTGGTGAGATGTACTATGTAGTACTAAGTAGAAGAGCACAAATGGCTGCAGCAAACAATCAGTGGGAAGGAGGGAAAAAGTGGACGGATGGACATGGGCGTAGCCAGTGAGAGAGACGCAAGAAATGAAGAGACCCAGTGGTGGAGTAGCGACCATGACCCATCCTGATCTGTACCTCTCTAGGTACGTTGTTCCATCCACTTCTCCAGCCTGTTTAGGGAAAGTGCACTTGACAATCAGAACTTATCAATCTGATTAATTTCTGCGTCGCTAACCGAGGTGAGACGGTGAGACCACTTGAGCTCTCATACAACGTGCTCCGTTAATGCAGGCAGGATCATGACCAGTTCAAGTCAAATGAACACAGGTAAAAAAATTCTAAAAAGAAAGGGCCATCCACTGTTGATCGCATGAATCAACAATACAGGCTCAGTTTCAATGCCGTAATTGCAAAGTCCTATTACAGCTTCATGTATCTTGGCGTGGGACTGGCCGAAAATCTTTCATCTGATAACGCTGTTTGCCGAAACGCACTATGTACCGTACTAGGTAGCCACCAATGATCATTGACCAACGATCGGAAGGAACCGTATGCTACTACGTAGTCCACTGTCGCAATGTCTCAGTTTTTCTCCTTCCTTTTTGTTCAGTCCTTCGGGAATTTTCTGCACCCTGCACCCTGCACTGCATGAAAGGTCACAGTGGCACCAACAGGTTTTTTTCCACTTTCTCAATAGGAGCTGAAAAATCAGCCGCAGGTCCATAAAGCAACAGTTTTTCTTCGACTGTCACAAGTCTGCATGTTACAGTGATTCAATTATGTATTGCTTACGTGGAGCTGTGAGAATGGGACATTCGACCTTTTCCCACCAGGTTCCGGTCGGCCCTTAAGTCTGGGACAACTCGGTGATCATCATATTCTAGAGAGTTAATACCGGAAATTACACAGAGAGAAAAAAAAGACGGAGGGAAAAGTTCGCAAATCCGACAGCTTCTATACTCCTTCTGGAGGTAGTGTTCTCTTCTCCCTTTTAAGTTCTTTGTTCGTTTATCTAATCTGATCGATTGATAATTTCAGTTTCCGACGCCAAGAGGGCCCAAGCACGCCAAACCGCTCGCCACCTCATTTTGTCGACATGAATCCTCAGATAACCGTTCACAAAAAGGTATTCATATTCCCGACTACTGATCGACCATCTCCTCCCATATTTGATCTGGGCGCATTTAAGAGACCAAGTTCCCAAGGAGAAATAGAGCCCACTGGCTCATAGAATGCTAAGCCGATCATTACGTAGTAGTCAATTAACGACAGGATACCCCTGACCAAACCCACAGTCGATTTTCCGAGACTCCACATGGTCGGAAATCGCAATAGAACATTAGCTAGTTGTCCCATTATTCCATGATGACCCGTCTAATCCACTCAAATGAGTCAAGAGTCAAGAGTCAAGACTCAAGACCCAGGCTATTTGTGCTCCTTCAGATATGATCTAATCTGATCATCATCTAATCAGATTGACCGCCAGTGTCTCATTGGATGCGCGAACAACCCCTTTTAGAAAGTCATTGTCCACGCCGCATGGGTACTACGGAGTAGGTATCTCACACAGACTACCTGCTGAGTACAGGTACCTGCTGTGCTTGGATCCGTATCGTTCGTCCTCAGTCGAGGTGGGCTAAGAAAGCCTATCGTCTTCAGAGCGGCCATCTTGTAGCGTGCAGTACTCTGTTCATCCGCTATTATCGGGTAATTTTACTGACTGACTGCAGCCTTTTAGGTGTTTCAGCATTTCCTGTCGTAGGGACTTCCCCGTCTCGTTCACACACCCATTGTGCTGATACAGGCTGGCTGACAGGAAAAGGTCCGGAATAAATTAAGTAAGGCGCAGGGCGAAGAGAAGCGCGCGGAGAAACTAGGGTCTAACTGTTTCGCTGAACACAACAATTTATTTGCACTGTAGCAGAACGGACTCGTTAGTATTTAGTGAGTTACTAAATACAAAATTTTGATCGGTCGCCCAGCAGGTCTACGATCATTTCACCTTGACAGCATTCTGGCGTCTCTCGGACTTCGTTTCTGACAGAGCTAACCTGCAAGAACAGGGTAGCACGAGTCACAGAAGCATGTGCCGGAACATAGCGATTGGAGAGCATTAAAGACGCCGCACTGCATACCTTATGGTTGAGATTTAGGAGAACTGACAAAGGGAATTTCAGTAGGACATTGTGGGGGCGGGCAAGAGACGAGTTGAACGAATGAGCAACAGCTTACTGATTGACGAATCCGGGATCCCTACTACGCGACGACGAATCTAAAGGACAGCAAAGAGACGTTACGCTCGGCCCAGTGCTCCTCGTCTCTCGAACTCCAGGTAAGTGAGGCGATATAGCCGAGATCGACCATCCGACGGATGAGCTGTAGTCAGTACGTGCTAATGATACCATGAGTAAAATCTAAACGTGCAACGGTAAAGCCATGCAGTATAAGGATGATGATAATGAGGTTGTTCGTGATAAAATACAGCGCTTCCTCACTTCTTAAGGATATAATAAGTCAACAAGTTTCGGGAATTTTCCCGAGGGTGACCTAATACTCGCCAGTATTCCTCCTCGTTGGCGACCATTCCGTGTAACTGCACACATAGTTGAACAGCGAGCCTCCTCACATCGGGCTGTCGATCAGCTAACTTGCTGGCAGCAAACTGTCCGAGACGCTCCAAAGGCAGTTCCGGTACGCGGCACTTCTCGGCATTCAGACGACTGAGAATCCGAGTCAACACACTAACTCCCATGAGGATTGACCGATACTGGCGATCATCTTTCTCCTCCGTAATGATAACATCCAAAACAGAATCAATAACAGCAGCAGGCTCGCAAAGGGCAATAATATCATCGGCCGTTTCCTCTAACCCGCTCACGATATGACAATTGGCATCATAATACTTGCGAGCGAGCACCAAGGCACCCAGAGCCTTGGAACAGTACGCGGTGAAGTAAATTTTGTTGTGGGTAAGCATAAATCGAATCGTGAGGAGAACCTGAGTCTTCAGATCCAGCGGTCGGCCGAGGGGTTGCCTCTTCTCGTCAGGCGAACTTTCCAGTTCGTCCAAGAGCGCCAACAACATTTCATCGTATTTCTCCTCATTGGTAAAAATAGAATCGTGGTATTTGATAATACCTTGAAGCTTGCGATATCCAAGAATATCCATGGTCTTTGTGCGAATTCGTTGAATGCCTTTGTCGAGCATCTGTTGCGCCTTGGCGGGATCCTTGGAACGTGGGCTGATACTCGTCCGCCGATCCGCTGTCTCGACCTTCTTCCAGCGATGACGAGAAGGGTCGTCAATTGGTGTCGTTGTTTCGTCTTCAAGTTTGTTCGCAGCATGTCGAAATTTCTTGTTGGCCCGCTGCAAGGGCTCATTCGAGGTAAGTTCTCCGAGGACATTGTGCTTTGGCGGAGATCGATGTGGCAAAGGTACGTGGGTTGTCTTGGAGTCGATAACAATATCATTTTCATTGTTGGCCGCCCGTAATGGAGACCCAGTCACCATAAGAGAAGACGATAGTTCGGACGGTTTCGAACAATCTGCGACTGGGTCAGGTTGATGAGTTACTGGCAAGGAAGGGTCCGCGAAGAGGCTCTGATCCGTTTGAGCGTCGGAATTCGGCAGTTCCGATGCTTCAACGACAGAACCTGCTCCAGTCAGAAACCCCAAACCAGTAGTAAGATGCGGGGCAGATTCATCCTGATTGCTTACCCTCTTGTTAGAAACAATTGGGGAATCAGAATGTACCTTGGAGGGTTGAGGGGTTTGATTCTCGGTCAGTGTCATGGCTGCATCATGAATATCATCATGATCAGATTTGGCTGGCGTGGTATCTTCGAAAATGGCTACAGGTGTAGCTTTTGCTGCATGTTCTCGGGAATCATCCGCGCTTGCATCCTGTTCAACTGGTGTATGTTGTATGTGTGTAGATGGCGATGCGATAGCGATCAAGTTGCCATGATCCTGAACAAGGTGCGAGTGAGGCGTAGAGGGTGTCTCCAGTGAGACACTGTTCGGTGAACTCGGGGTCACAGAAAACTCGCTATGAAGCGGAGAGTGACGGGGAATGCTCTCGTTCGAATTCTTTCTCGAATGAGTTGGTATTTGTTTTGAATGCTGTCTGGTGTGCGTGTCCTGAGATCGCGTCTTAGAGATAACAAGTCGTTTGGGCCGATCTCTGGTTGTGCCAACAGGGTCAGCCCTGTCACGAGATCCGGTGCTGCTAACTGATTTCGAAGATGGTGTAGAAGATTTTGACTTGATTGCCCTTGGAGAGCCGTCAAATCGATTGCCGTGTCTTGTGCTGGAGTCGGTTGCGACAGACCGGCGTGCAGCATATGGGTCCGCAGTTGCGGGACGATTGAGTTCAGGTCGGCGAGGTTTCACCGCTGGTCGCACGGGCGCAGAAGAAAGTGAAGATAGAGAGGCGCCTGTTGGCACTGTCCGAACAGATGACTTGGAAGAGGATGGAGCCGAAGAATGTTTGTCGGACAGAGCCGACTGCGCGGATTCGGGGCGAGGAGGTGGCACGGCTTTCGCTGGTGCGAGCCGGGCTTTTTTCTGTGCGGCAATCGCTTCTTTCAAAGCGGAGCGCCCTGCGAGAGAGGATGTACTGCTTGCCAGTCCCTTGCGCGAGGGGCCAGAATCCTTCGGGGCATTTTGGTGCGCATTGGGGTTGGCGGGGTCCTTTTCTAACAAAGAACGAGATTTAGGATCAAGATTTGAGAGGATACTTTTCGCAATTAGTCAGTGTAGTACATTATGTGAGACAGAGGGACACTTACTCATTGGCTCTGCTGGGCCACACACGGTAATACGTCCAGAAAGTACTGCGTATCGCCTCTCTCACACCAGGGTTGGCGTCGCCAAGGCATTTCTTAACGCTTTTCTCAATCATATCCAACCCTCCGCCGTGTTCAATCGAACTCTTATGGTGACTTTGCTTTCGGATCAAGGTTTTGAGCCAACCGGCCGCAAAAAGGCGAAGCTGGACATTTTTATCCTGACAAGCTCCGGAAACGTGCTGCAGAATACGGGTGGTGAAAGTGACATTTTCCATCAGAGCATCGACCGTGGCGTTACCGTTTTGGGCACTAATCTTTTTCATACCACTGCAGAGCTTGATCAGATTCTGCATCATGATTTCGACCATGGAGTCGATCCGAGGACCGCATCTCTTAGCAATGTCTTGGATGAGAAGGCATCCGATGGTCGAGAGAGTCGTACGAAGTGAATTGACAACTTTGAATATGCCGTCCAATAAGGATTTCAAACCGGCAAGGTAAGCTGGGGAATAATCGTCTGGCGCGTTGCCATGGGTGAGGCGCCTGAGGGTCAGAACATCTTTTTCCCGGCGGATCCAGTTATCCTCAGACTCCCGACCTTCAAAGTGCGGCATCATATCACGAAACATTTCGTCGACTTGTCTTGACGACGAAACATAAAGGGCGTCGATCTTCTCACCTTCTTGTGAAGCAGGGCGAGAATTTGGCAGAGGCAACTCCTCCGCGGGCCCGTGTGAGAGACAACAGCCCAATTTGGCTCGCTTTTTGCAGTAGTAAGACGGCTCTTGGGGCGCTCCACTCCAATGACTGAGAAATGGCACAGGGGAGTCAGCATCGAACTCAGTTAAAGGTGGGGCAATGAGATGACCAAACTTACCTTCCTTTGTAACCTCCTTGTGAGTCTCAGAACGAGAAGACAAGACCGAGACTGGCCGAGGAGGCAAAGCCTCCGTGTGCGAAACGGAGGATTGTGCGAGCTCCATTCTGGAAGCCGGTCGTTGATGTGTGTCCAGCCGGGAGATTGATCTGGAAGATTGTGTTTCCGCACGAGACACAGGACGATGAACAAGGGCTTCAGCTCGGGAAACAGGTCGTGAGGCCGCATCCATATCGGAAGTACCGTGCTCGATGCTTGCAAGAATTGCATTGACAAAAGATTTTCTAACATTGTGGGCAGCCATTTGTCTTTTCAAATCGGACTTGGCTCGTTCAGAGGCGTGTCTAGTCACTGTTAGTATGCGGAAAAGGCATTCGAAATGATGCAACCAGAGGGCCACGGACTCAAACAGTTCAATAACAGTGTTCTTGGCCGTATTTCTCACGTTGCTGTCTGCATCCTCCAGACATGCAACGAGACTCGACACATACGAGCGAAACAAAAGACCGTAGTTCTTAGTCATCTGTAAGGGGACGGTCAGAAATGAAGAAAAGCCCCGAAGATTGAAAGGGGAACTCACATTCGACAGCCAGATCATACTCATCTCTTTGGCTCTCGGGTTTTTGCCAACAAGCGCCTGTCCAAGAACACATTGCTCAACTTCTTCGGGGGCTGCCAGCCACATGTCGGTAAAGGATTGCGCAGCTTGAGCACGAATACGTTCTTTATGATCTCCTAGACGCTCTACAAGCAAAGGATACAAGGCGCGACATTGTAGTGCGACCAAATGATGCAGCTCCTGAATGAGTAGCCGCTTCAGAAAATGACCGAGTGTGGAGAAGCCGGCTCCGGATAGAGACGAGTGTTGGGACGCAATTGCCAGGCGTATGGACTCAAAAATCGATGGGACTGCCCCCTCCGGGACATTTTTCTGCTTGATGTCGGATTTGACGCATTGGAGATGGGCGACCTTGGTATCGACTGACATGTTGGAATTCTTCAACGCCGCCACCAACTCCGCCGCCTTGAGCTCCATCATGGAAATGATATTTTGGGCCTGGGCTTTGGTCACAACAAGAGGAACATAGAGGTAACAGAAGGTAAAGAAGTAGCACAGGAACTTGTGAGGGCTACAGGAAATGAATAGAGTGAGGACCAATGCAAGCGTGATGCGGTCCCAGGCAGATGGGTTCAAGGAACCAACGGGCACTAATCTGCAAGACTCCATGACGAATGGTTAGCCAACAAGTCTCAGAGCTTCTGAAATAGAGAGCTTTTGGAATGGGAACGTAATGTTGAGAAGGGTTGAAACGCAGTGTTAAACGGGGTGTTAATCGCAGTGGAAAAGCAATTGAATCGCTGTGATTTCGCAGTTGAATCGCTGTGGAACGGAGTAACTGTGATGGGGAAGGGAAAGAGAAGAAGAAGAGGGTGGGCGATCGAGGTCGAGGGAGATATACTGTCAATAAGACGACAACGAAGGAAAGTACACATACCTGGTCGAACGAGAGGCAGTCGCGAGGTCCAAGGCCGTTGTCAATGAGTTCCGACGGAAAGCACTGAGGTACCGCTGGCGACGAGGAAGGGAGGATGGAGGGAAATGAGGTAACGTCGGAGAAGTGAAGTTGGATATGGAAAGCGGCGATGGACAGAGGGGAGATGTCCGATAAGCGATTAGACGCGGCGATAAGCGCTTCGAAAGTATTCCACAGCGAGAGAGTCCAATGTGATGTACAATAATCGCGATGTATATATGCCGGGATATTATAGGACAGGTGTCGCTGCAGAGAGTAGGTAACAGGAGTAGCGGAGCAGGCTTGTCGCGAGGGAATAACTTGGTCTTGTTGCCTTTTTTCGCTTTGTTTACCCGCTGGTGGCAGGAGCCATGGTTACGGCGAGGGAGACCGAGGTGGGGGAAAACAACTTCCTGCTTTTGGTGAGCCGATGCTGCCCAATTGCTTTGGTTCGGGCGAGGATTGAACGTACCTGGGATAATAATGTATGAATGCGATTCTCAATTGATGAGGTAGATCGAGGAGGTAAAGTGTAGCTGTAAGATAAATGGAAAGGAGGAAGAAAGGGGTGGGCTAGGGACTTTTTCCCTGTCGCAGAAACAGAAATGTTCTACTCCGTATGTCAACAAGTGGCCCCTCCCGTCTAGTGCAGATATATATCCACACCAGGCGCAGCGAAGGATCAGTTGAAATTCTGCTTAATTCTACATATATATTCACTAAGCGAATAATCAAAATACCGGATCTGTATCTCTTGAATCACCTTTAATGTTATTGAATGAGATTCCTGTTTGACTCTGTAATTCGTAAAGTCCACAAATGATTCTACTCCTAGCAGGTAACTCGACGTCATGTCCGAGGTAGTCGACTCCGCGCGATCGCCCCTCCAACAGGTGGATCATTTCAATGAAAGACACTAGGACCATGAACATGCGGAGACTGAAATTGTTGACTCGAGGGTTGTTGGTTGGTTGACGAGGTTGGTTGCAAAGAGATACTTTGTGAAGCTGATTGGCAGTCCTGTTTGCATGAACCTCCGTACTATACTCAAGACCTGGAGTATAGGTAAGGTGCAGGTACTAAACCTGTACCTACATTTCGCATACTTCCGCCTAAAACCGCAATGTATATCCTGCGTACCGGGGCTCTCAGCATCCTGCGGCTAAACGCCACTGTCTCGGCTCTACTTAACGAATCTCATCTCTGTCTCCAGACATGCCTCGACTTGCAGCTGGAGTCCGTCAACTACTTTTGGACGATAGGAGCTAGAACATTCCACAGTTTCGTCGCACCTCTCAAATAATCTCTGTTCTGATCCAGAGAGGCAGCTGTGATGACATCTTCGATAAGCCCACTCCCCTCCGCAATCCCCAAAACCATTCCTCGACCCAATGACTCCCAATCTAGCCAGGGCCAAACGACATCAGGGGAAATCTCGCCAAACCCAGAACCCAAGCTTCCCAGACCCAGATTCCGTCTCCACCTGAACGATCTACGCCATCCGGCTACGCTATCGTTCATCTCCCTGGTCCCCGATGTTGCATCGACCCTCGAAACCGCGCTAAAGGTTATTGTGCGACACCTCTATACACCCCCCTCACCCTCGCCAAGCCAGTCGAGCAACACCCCGGCCAAGAAATATCCCAGACCGTCCTTCACACCATGTATCCCTCCTACCCGCTCCGTGACAGTCCTTGTTCGCGATATTGGCGGGGTAGCGTACACCACCGGCATAGAGCTCGACGATGATCATAAGGAAATCCACTTGTCCCTGTCATACGTCAAGTCCAGCGCGGAAAAAAATCCAGACCCTGCAGCCGAAATCATCGGCGTCTTGACTCATGAGCTGGTCCATTGCTACCAGCATACAGCGCCAAAGGGAGATGAGAATGCCTCTGTGCCTCGTCCTCCAGGTGGGTTGATCGAAGGTATTGCCGATTTTGTTCGTCTGAAAGCGGGCCTCGAGCCTCCGCATTGGAAGCGACCAACATCTGCCAAGGAACGACCGTCGAAGTGGGATCAGGGCTATCAACACACGGCGTACTTTCTGGCGTGGTTGGAGGATGTGCGGGTCGGGAAAGGTGCTGTTGGCATGCTAAACGACAGATTGCTGAGGGTCGGATACGTAGGCGAGGAGTCGGAGTCTGAAAATCAAGACACACAGAGCTTCTGGAGGGGCCTGTTCGGGAACGGTATTTCGGAACTTTGGGAGGAATACGGCGAATATTTAGATCGCTGTAGGGATAGTGGTAACTGGGAAGACGAGATCATCAATCCGGAGTAACGTGAAGTGCTCTAGAAAGATAGGTACACACTCGAGGTCATCCCTGGGAAAGGAATAGTAGTACTAGTACTGATGTCTCGATTTCTGTCTAGTAACATTTCTGACTGAGTCTATCGGATACTTCTATATGCTGATACCTGCTAATGTAAGTATCCATTTCCTACCCACATTGTGTTCCGATGTCCAACCTCTGGAGGCGAAGAAAGAATCGGGAGATTTGACCAAAACAACGGCACGACAACAAGAAAAATAGACAAAATAGGAAAGACATGGAACGAATAGAATAGATTTGCCCGTACTGTACAACACCTGATCTTGCAAACAAGTAGTAAGGAGAAGATTGTCGAACTGTCCCTTGGACAGTCATTTATGTCAAAATAATACATCACCATCGCGACATTGGCATCGGATTGTTGCCCAATCTATCTTACACAATCACCTCGCCCAAGTCGACATAAACAGGCTTCCAGGGCGCAGCGCCCTCTTCTTCCATCGAGCTAGGCACACGAACGTTCAGCGGGCTGTACAAATACCAGCCCTTGAGGGCGGCCACAGCAGCCCTCGATCGGGCCTCCATCAGACTGGCGCCAGCGCCTTCGCCCAACTTATCCTGACCACAGTAGATACCGACAACAAAGACAGGGTGTCTGCTCTTACGGCCAGTTTCACTGATGATTTTGGCGACAGGGCGTTCGAAGTTCTCTCGCGCGCACAACCGGGTGAGGTCACGAGCCGGTTGGGAGAAATTGAACAACTCGGAGATGTTGAGGTGTCGTGACAGGATATGCTGCTCGAAGAAACGCTTGGCAGCAGGGCGGCCAGCATGCAGATAGATGGCGCCCATGACGGCGCGCACGAAGGTAGCACTGGCTTGTTCGGCCGTGACGCCTTGAGCATTGTGGGATTCAGCGACAGCCTGGGCCGCTGCGTCGGCGACTTCCTTGACCGGATCACCGAATTCGTTATCGTAGACCACTCTGGACGTAATCGACTTCCTCCATGACCTCCGATGGTCGTTGGGCCTTGCTGTACCTGTAACTGGTTCTGCATTAAGATCCGTGCCGGGAGAGACCCTCTTGAACTGCAGAAGGCCAGGGTCAACCTCTCCTCCAGGGGCGACAGCCATTTCGACACCCCATTCCCTAGCCATTGCGGAAAGCGTTTTCGGGCCGACATAGGCGTACATGGCCGCAAAGATTACGGTCAGAGGAAGTCGAGGATACGTGCATACGAGATGTTCGGAGGTGTAGTTCGTGAGGAGGTCATGGCCCAACGTAGCCAACGACTCATTGTTGAAGTCTGGATTCGGATCCGCTGAAGCGTCCACCAGCGCGCGTGCTAGTGTTTCGAGGGGTAATCGAGAGGGCAGGTAAAGTCGTGCATGGAGCGCAGCAAGTTTTGCGGACTCGCGTGCGGCTTCAACCGGGGGGAAGGGAGGAGGTATCTCGACTGTCGTGAGTTGGAGGGAGGAATTGGCGAATGCAAAGGTTGCTCTTCAATCAACTGGTGTTCATCCGCTTGAAGAACAGGTGAAGATGTCGACTGATATCGTAAACTAGCACATAGACGCTGGGGCAAGCGGCCGTTGGTTCGTGCCCGTGGTGAAAGGACCGAACTGCTCCATCGAAGGAGCTGCAGCCTTTTCATCTGGACAATGTGTTATCCCCGAGGGGTTTGAGCCAGCAGAGACCAAGAAAAAAAGGTATGACCGGCCAGAAAATTGCGGTGCAGGGATATGGGGAAATCCAAACTGCTCAAGTATATCGGGCATGCGAACTTTTGATCGCTGGAGAAAAGTTGAGCTCAGCGGAAGTCACGGGATCGGGTGATCGTGTGCTGGCGCTAAGTCATTTTCGGTACTAGCGTCACGGCTTCTCTGGGTGAGGGACGTCGATGGTCAAGTCGGCTTCAACCAGCCTGAATATAGCGCTTTTCCCGCAAGCCATTGTCGAACTGTTTATTCGTCCATTCATTTATCTCTCTACAGGAAAAGATGGGTGGAGGTGGAAAGATCCCGTATGTGCTTGATTCTGCCGTGATGCGGTACGATGTTGCTACAGTGGGCTAACTCATCCACCTCGCAGGTATCCTAAGGAAGTCTGGTCTCCAGCTGGAGGCTGGTATGCTCAGCCTGCAAACTGGCGAGTCAACACCGCTATCATGGGCGCTGCCATGCTTGGTGTTATCGCGGTTACCTGGAGTATCAGTGCCGAGCGTGAACATCGGGACAGAATGCCAGAGCCCGGCAGATTCTTCCCCAGTCGCTAGTCAGTGGACGACCATCCCCTTTTCCGTTATGTGGGAGTCGCATGCTGACGATACAAATTTTTTTTTACCCCCAGCTGGAGCAAGCAAATCATCGAACACGAGAAGCAGCAAGCTACCAAGCAATAAAAGCGCGTTGATGGGAAGAGAAGTGGAAACGAGGGAAGAGTCCTATGGCATGATTGGTATTTGTTTCATCTATTTGCGGGCTGTACGACAATAAAGGGCGTTCTCCAATCGGTCAGTTGTTCCGAAGTGCTTTCGGGGAGACTCTTCGAATGTTCGATACAATCTCTGCGTGTACAGACGGACTCGTTCCGTGAATTCAGTTCCATTCCACAGTTCCTTTCCCTCGCTTGATATCGTTATACGAGGCACACCAATCTGCTCAACCACAAAGCCTGCAGCGACAGTGGCGCATATCAAGGCCACCAGCATATCTCTCTGCTTTGCCGACGCCTTCGTGATAGTCTGCCAATTTCCACGCTTCGCAAGCACGGAGGTTATTATCAGGCCTGGATCTCTTTCTGAACTGATGAGGCCTTGTGCCAAAGCCCCAGAAACGAATTGCCAGCTCCCGTAGGATCCACAACAGCTGTAGCCCCAGAAGTGCTAGGCTGATGGTAGGCGGGGAGCCATATCCTCTGTTTCCTTGAAAATGTGTAGCTACCGTCTTTTCCTGCTCTGATTACCAAATGCCCTTCGCCTTCGGGCCCGATGCCTGACGTGAGTATCCTAGCAATGACATCGCGACCGAACTCGCTATCCTCGGTCCACCCGGGCTGGCCGAACATCATGCCCAGCTCCAACTCGTTGGGGCTGACCACATCAACTACTCGGGCTGCTGCCAAGAATTTATCCTGTTCTTCCGGTGTGCATAGATCAGGAACAGGCTCCCAGATGAAGATCGGTCTCTCCGTGGCGCCAATGGCTGAAGGGGCCTTGCCCTTTCCCCGCAAATCATCACGTCTGCGTAGAATATCTTCAACAATGGTTATGCAACGAGAAGAAGAGCAGACCATGTGGAATGTCTTCGACAGAACCTGCGAGTCGGAGAGCATTGAAGGCTCAAGTCGCAATTTAGGCGTCAGATATTTGAAATCTATTCCGAGTTATTATCATCTCTCATTTGTATTCCACAGTTGCAGAACGAGAAAATATACTAACCTCGCTTTTCATTCGGCCCATATCCATTCCATGCTCTAGTGGTCAGTCTCCCAGAATCCTCTCTGATAAGACAATTGGTATTCCATGACTTGATGACGCCTAGAACTTCGGTAGGAAAACCTGAGCCAACGTCCACAATCCAGCTTACAGAGCTTGAATGTTCCTTCCCAGCGACAAGGCGGGCACCGACTACAGCATAAGAGGCTGCACCACCAATGATATTTTTCACGTTGGGTCTAGGTCCTCCAAAGTCGATATCATCTATGCGAGTAAGTATCTGATATGGTGCAGCAATTTATCCGGCAATGACCGTGCAATGATAGCATACCGAGGATGAACATGCCCAGAGTGCAGAACTCGACATTGCCCTCGACCTGACTATCCGTGCTCATACTTTGTATTGTAACCACTAAATACTGAGCTCAACACCTATCGGTATCCAGACAAAAGTCGAACTGTACTAGGTATGTCGCTCATCCCCATGCGGGGAATCAGAGAAGAGCTCATTGATAAGGATAACATACTTATGAGGGTTGGTAAATATGATACAAATTTATACACACAACGTCATGTTTAACTGAGCAACACCTTAACTTTACGTGTACTGTATTGTAAGCCCCACAGAGTGGAGCTTGCGGCCTCAGGAAGAAACGGGTCAGGAGCATCTTCATCATCGTCTGGACTCTAGAACTCGACACCGTTGCAGGAATCAGGCATTCCCAGGTGGCTGCTCCGAGGTTGAAGTTACTCGCCCTTCGTCTATCATCGTTGTATTCCTGCTTTCAGCGAAAACAAGGGCAGCAGAGACTCAAGCCCTTAAAGCTCAAACTTGTTCGTTCTAGTTTCATTGTCGTTGCTTCGCCAGGGGTTTGGTCTTCAAGATGGCAACCAGCAACCATATGCATAATCTGACTACTCTTATCAAGCGGTATGTACCTGAAGAAAATCTCCGAAGATTGAGCAATAAGCTCAGCTCAATCTCTCATGATTCATCTTCTAGCATTTGCTTGCATATTCCGTTTCACTGACAATGTATACTTCTCGACAGGCTGGAAGCCGCGACCTCCCGTCTGGAGGACATGGCTATGTCGCTGGATGACCCTCACTCGCCGAAACACGTCGGAAGTACAGCAGCTACTCCCGAACCTGCAGCGCCTGTTCCAGTGAATACAGTTGCTCCCCCAGCGCCTCCCGCCGCCCCTTCGCTTCCGCCCCAAATAGAAGATTTCGATGCATTGATCAATGGGGATGTTCGAAGCTTCGTGGATCTCGGTGAGAAGATCGGTGGTCTTGTTGCAGAGCAGGTGAGCAACTTGAGCTTAGGGCTTCCTTCATGTGTCCGTCTCTGACTTCTTCGACAGTCCAAGGCTGTTCTTCAAGCTTTCGAAGCCGAGCGCACCTACCTTTACGTCTCGACAAAGGCGAGAAAGCCCGAACCTCAGCCACCCGAGCTTATGACTGAGCTCCACAATGCTTCTGATACCATCAACAACATCCGCGAGTCGAACAGAGCCTCCCCTCTCTTCAATCACCTTAGCGCTGTCGCGGAAGGCATTGTTGCTCTGGGCTGGTTCTTTGAGCCTAAGCCTGCTGATTTCGTCAGCGAGATTGTCGGGGGCATCCAGTATTATGGTAACAAGGTGTTGAAGGAGTACAAGGAGAAGTATGGATTCCACTGTGGGCTTGCCGGCCAGGAGTTTGCTGACCTTATAACAGGGACCACACTCACGTTCAGTACATCCAAGCCTACTACCAGATTTTCAAGTCGCTAGCTGCGTACCTGAAGAAACATTATCCCAAAGGACTCACCTGGAACCAGGAGTCTGGTATTGATGCGCAAGAAGCGCTCAGGCAAATCAAAAGCGGCGCTTCCGGCCAGGCAGCACCACCTCCTCCTCCACCTCCCGTGCCAACTCTGAACGTCCCTGGAGGAGTCCCACCTCCCCCTCCTCCGCCACCCGGCGCCCCTCCTGCGCCCGTTGCTGCAGCACCAGACATGTCTGCAGTCTTCGCTCAGTTGAACCAAGGTGACGCCGTCACCTCCGGCCTCCGCAGGGTTGATAAATCCGAGATGACGCACAAGAACCCCAGCCTACGTGCGGGCGCAACGGTCCCTGAACGCCCAAGCTCTCAGGGTAGCATTTCCCGCTCCAAGTCACCTGCCCCGAGCAAGAAGCCCAAGCCGGAGAGCATGCGTGCTCGTAAGCCGCCGCGTAAAGAGCTCGAAGGCAACAAGTGGCTGCTTGAGAATTTCGATAACACCGGTGGCATCATCGAGATTTCCGCTCAGCAGAATCAATCTATCCTAATCAGCCGTTGCAACAAGACTATCGTGAAGGTGAACAACAAGGCCAACGCAATCTCCATCGACAACTGCACCGGTCTTTCCATCATCGTGGATTCGCTTGTCAGCAGCCTCGACGTCATCAAGTCTCCCAAATTTGCTCTGCAGATTGACGGGGTCGTGCCCACTCTTCTGCTTGACCAAGTTGATGGTGCGACCATCTACCTTGGACAGCAGAGCTTGGCTACCGAGATCTTCTCTAGTAAATGCACGGCTGTCAACATCATGCTCCCGCCCAAAGTGGGAACCGATGAGGATACCAAGGAGTGCCCCGTTCCAGAACAGATCAAGTCGTATGTCAAAGACGGGGTTCTCGTGAGCGAAATTGTCGAGCACGCCGGCTAGACGTTTGTTCCTTGAATATAATCCCGGATATCTACCCTGGCTATCAACTACCACCGTTCGAGAGCACAGGTTCAATCTCATATCATATTCATTCTGTATTTAGATACGATTGTAGATAAAATAGCATAATTGAAGAGGCTAGTAACAGTCTTTGCTAAAAAATCCCCAAGTACCACTGGTACTCATTATACTATCTGCATTGCAAGCAAATGCTGATTGAGTAGACCTTGTAGAAAGTAATCATGTGAACAGCTCAAGAAGCCATTGCCAGACCCCAAAGTGAAAGTAGACCTCGAAATATACGTGAATCTCCAAGGTTATTAGCGGAATAGAGCTTATAGACTCGACACCAACGAATGAGACAAGCCACGTGTCCAGTACGTAACATGAAGATGAAGGTGAGTCTCATGCTGATAATGAACAATGAAGGCTGAATGTAAGATTGACTGAGAGCGTAATGGCAAGGATGGGTATATTGCGTGGTTCCTGAGCGCCTGGTCTATTTGCACTTAGTCTGGGTAAGCAAAGACAATTGAGTATTTGAAAGATGCCCGCATCTTGTGATATAGTACTGTGTCGTTAGTCAAGGCAGTTGCTATGTGCAGATTTGGCCAAGCTAATCGTGGTAAGGTGAAGATGGATAACCAGGAAGGATGACGAATTATATGGAAGATGGGGAGAACAAGGTATACCGATGGAATACTGCTTCAGAAGGCGGAACAGGCCCCGAGAATGACGTTGGTCGCACGAGTTGCATAGGCAACTCAATTCCGAGACGAGAACTCATGTTTTTGTACGTCCAGCCCTTTCAACCTCTTCGCGAGCAAGCTTTCTCCGGCTTCAGATATGCCAGAAGAGCTGAACGGAAGACCACCATATCCGAGATCACCCCTGCTAAGTTTACGATAAGTCCTGTCTTCTGTTGCATTGTCGTCAGAAGTACGCTGGGAAAGCGGGGTTTCCCTAGGGGAGGGAGCACGCTGGAAAGGATGAAGTCTCATCTCGTAATGACGCTTTGCGGCAGCTGCTTCATCGACTGAATTGTCAAGAGGAATCGTGCGAAAGTGTCCAGCATGATGAAAATAAGAGCACTCCCCTGCCGCACTGGGACCTGGCAATGAAGCCAGATCGGCAGCCATTTTTGTGTACCCTTTCGCCGATTTTGAATGTATATTGGCAGCGTTCGTGTCACGGACCGGCTTATATGGCGTATACCGAGGATCAGGATGTTGTATCTCGTTTCGCAACTTTTCTTTACCGTCAGGCACCCGATTTGCAAACACGACACGAATACTCGAGTAGAGATAGAAACGACCCTTTGAAGGACAACAGATATTCAAATGGATCAAATAGCGTAGTATAGGCTTGTCTTTGGGATTTTCAGATACGCTTAAAGACGCCTCGGGTCGATCAGTCCCGAGGTTCTTTCTGGCGGACAAAGGCATATCAATTATGGGGCCTGCCGAGTAACTTCTTTGGCGTATGAAAGTTTTGGTGCCAGGCTCCATTTCGCTGAGATCGTAAGGTACAAGGAAGAGTTTGACAGCCGTCTTGTTCGGATTCTTGATCATGATTTGCAGCTGGCCTTGTTGCGGTATACGATAGCACCCACCTGGTGGGGTTTTGGGTGAATCGGCTCGTCGATTTCGCTTTTCCCTCATGCGTAGGGCTTCTTGGGTCTGATATTCCGGTCCGACGTCGACATCAGTCCTTTGGTCCTTGGCTGCACCAGCAGGGCTTCGGTGATGCCGGTGGCGGCGAGTGGCGTATGAGTTATCCTTAGGCAAGGAATTCTCGAGATCAATCAGACCCACATAGGGGCTTGGATTATCGTCCGAAATGGAGCGACCCTTTCCAGAAGTAGGGTAACTGTAAAAGACCGCAGGGAAGGGCACCGTGACGTGCGGTGGGCATCTGAGATTCGACTTGCAGTTTCCTTTGCCGAGCACACCAATTTGGGCAGTGAAGTCGAGTGGTTTGGACGGATTCATTGACATCCTTCCGCGGAGGATCGACTCCTCGTAAGATCCTACCAGTGGTGCATGGGTCTTGCAGGATAGTTCGCCGGCGAGGGAAGGTCTCCTGGCTCTCCAGGACGGATGTTGGACTGATGAAGCCAGTTGAAGACTGTATGACGAGGTCAATGGTTTTCGTGGTTGACGGGATTGGAACGAGAATGAATCGTGGAAGGTTCCAGGTGGGTGACCGGTGCTAATGTTAATCACACGTGAATAAGGCGCAGACGAATCCTGAAGATTCCGAAATGTCTCTGGAGGCAGTGTGCGACGGCGACTGGCTTTATCCGAAGCTGGAAGATGCTCGCAGAACTCACTTTTCAGTGAGAAGTCCAGATCAGTGTTATTTGCCTGGTAAACCAAAGGACTGGTCGGAGCTTTCAGGACGTAACTGGACGAGTATGACCCTAAAGACGGTGCTCGCGACCGCGGACCTGGGTTCGCAGTTTCTTCTTGCTGCTGACCGAATTCCTGCCCTCGGAAAGGCGCAGAAAAGATAGGAGTGGTAAACCACGGCGTGGTTGGAGAGGAGCTTAATTGAGAAAACTGCGCGAGAGAGCGATATTTGGGATGCGGAGACTGCGGTGCTTGTTGCTGGCTCTCATCCTGAGCAATGCCTTCTCGAAAGTCTCCAGAATGCAGGGCCGAGCGAGGGCGTTGAATATCGGCTGGTGAAGCAAGTTCCTCTGGTTCCTTCTGGTGGTCCATATCCACAGAATTCCTGAATGGATCCGAACGCTCCTGTGTCTGTGGAAATTCGTCAGATGTGCATGACTTGATCTGTCGAGACTAAATCCAATGATACTTGAATTAGCAAGCCACCAAAAAGGACGATCACACAATCGCAGGACTATAATATACAGTCAAATCTTAGAGAACGTACCATATCAGGCTGAGCCCAGGCTGAAGAATCGGCGCTTTTTATATACCGTATTAACTCCTCCCGATCGCTTGCTCGCAATCTCGAAAAACCGGGACTCGATATGCAGCTTTCGTTCGATACACCCGCACCCCTTCCAGAGGAGCGAGGCCTTTGGCTGTCCTCATGGCAGCGAACCCATGAGGGAGAGCCGTCTCGCCGCTCAACCTGTTGAGGGTGGTCATCCGACCACTGGTCATAGAACCGTTGACGATCAGGGTCCTGAAAGATAGGCATGGTCACCGACGATCGTAACTCCCAATACAACCAGATAACAGGTTAACCATCGCAAAGGCAACGACCAGAAATACTAAGGAGTCCACAGAGAGTGTTAATGTGAAAATACGGAGTAGCTGCAGCAGTGGTACGACGGGAGCGGTGGCGGCGCCGATAGGGACCTTGATGTATGGACCTGCTCAAGGGGCCAACCATGGAAGGAAGATGACGGGAGGAAAGAGCAAGGCTAGGATTCAAATAAGGGTGAAGACGACCGAGAAATATGAAACGATAAAGGATCCACTGAAGAATGGCAGACGAAGCGAAGTGATGCTGGCTCGTGGTTTGGTGGAGGAGGAGACCGTCGGCAACTCGGCGGAGCAGCAGCATGAATCATCATCAGCATCATCGTTTGTATCGTTTGATCGGGATTTTCTCTCAGTATCGTCATCATTTCTTTCTGCACCCCCGCTCTTGGGCAATCTTGGTTCGATCTATCAAACGCTAGCACGCCTTAACTTGTAAGTTATCGAAGATCTCATATCGAGTCAGAAACATTTTCTGAAGTCCTTATCGTTGACTATCTCTGAGTTGCGTGAGGAATTTCGCCTGAAAATTTCCCCTTTGGGTCACTCAAATTAACCTGCCGCGACTACGATTGCAAAATCCACATCACTTGCCACGTCCAATATCATAATTGTTGCCCGACACACCGCTTCGACTATTCTATAATTTACGAATCCTATCGTATCAACTATGGCCAAACGCTCTCGTGACGCCGATGCCAATCCGGAGGAAAAGCGGACCACAGAACCCCCAGTCAAGAAGAGGAAGGGCTTCTCAGTTGGTCCTGCAAACCTGCCTGATGGCACCTATCGTCGCAAAGGTAGATATCGCCTCCTCACGCTGCTCTCCACTGCTTTCCTGCCCAATTCGCTTACTGACCATTCCACATAATCGCAGCCCAAAAAATAAAGTCCGACCTGATCCAAAAGGCCAAAGTAAAAAAGGCCTATGCCAAAATCAAAGCCGAGGAACTTGCGTCAACACCCAAAAGACCCATTTATGCGACAGAGGAACATGCGGAGGGTGAAAACGCCAACGGCGATAACGTCGTCGATCCTGCACCGGCGTCTTTGGAGCTACATCCAGACCGACAGGCCATGCTGAACGAGCCCGTGCCGGAACGACCACCCAGACCTGAACGGTCACAGGACCATAACCCCCGTGAACGTCGGAACAGAAGAAAACCCAAGCCGTCCGCTTTCGCGAAGGAAATGGAGATTGCGGAGAAGCGCAGGAAAGAGGCGGAGAGGCGCAGAGAAGAGCGGGAGTTTAAAATGAAAGATCGCGAGGCCATGGCTAGGGCGAAGAAGCCTGCTCCGGACGGCAAAAGAAGATTGGGCCGGGAGAGCAAGGTCTTGCTTAATAGGATTCAACACATAGTGGGTCAAACATAGACACCAATTTTGCACATGGAGACGAAAACTAGAGGTGGTCCAACAAGAAGTCTTCCTTTCTATGATACCCATTAGATATGTCGTTTACGGTTACTTGTCGAGTTTTCTGCGCACATGTTTCACCTTTACATGAATTATACCTTCAATATGCAGGATGATAACTAAGCTGCTTTATGCCCTGTCCCACTTCTCGGTTTCTTGAAACATGCGAATTCGCCCTTTGTCCTCTCCCTAAGCCGCTTCAGTATGCTCCTCATTTCCCCAAGCTCTGATTGAAGCCTAGCCCTGGCTTCGTGTGTAGTCCGCTGATCCAGTTCCACATAGATCTGGCTTTGCACAGTGGAAGCTTCCTCTGTGGAGTACTGTGATAGGGTTTGTGCAATAAATTCAGTATCAAGGGTCGCCTGCATCAGCGCAGCCAGAGTATATGAAGGTCGTGAGCTGAACGCATTTAGGAGAGATGTGGAGATTTGTGTCAGCAAGTGTGTGAGGACCATGTTCAGCAACGGAGATGGCGCAGCGGGCGGTGAACGACTCGCTCCTGAGGCCACACAGGAAGGAATGGTAGTTGAGATCTCCGTGTGAACGAGCACAAGGGTGAGCAAGACGCTATATACATAGGGGCGTACTTGCTCTGGGCGAGCGCTGGACGGCTCCCATTCAGGGTCTGTAACGCCGTTGACAATCATGGCATTCAATTTGTTCACCGTTGGTTTGGTATACGATTGGAATAGGCGGTCATCGATCTGACCTAGGACGTCGCGAATAGTCTTGGCTTCTTCCGTCAATTTCACAGAAAATGCAGTCTCGAAGTTCGTGACTAGATGTGGGACGAAATCTGCCTGCAGGGCTTTGATATTTGAGAGCGTGAGCAGTATCCGCACGTTCTAAAACATGTTAGCGAACACTCTTAAGAGAGAAGCAGGTTGAGAGAAGGACTGACCCTATCTTGAGAGTCCACAGCATCCGCAACCAAAGCAGGCGAAGTGGAATCAGGACCATTGAGTTGTGCCGCAGACCCGGCGAGGATCCATTCGCTACCCTCATCTAGAACGACAGGATGTTCCGCGTTCTCCACGAGACCGCTGAGCGCCTTATAAACACTGGATACAAATTGGGTGCGGACCATCTGGAGTAGCTTGGCAGGGGGTTGCGTAACGACATCCACGGCCCCTGATTTAGCCATGGCTTCCGAGATGTAAAGGATCTTTTGCATTCTCCCAAGAATTGCACTTTCAAAGGCCACAAATAGCCCAGGCATCTTGGTCAGATCCTTGCTCTCGGGATCGCGCGTCCAGTCTTCCAGCATTTTGCAGATCTCTGCGTCTTTGCCCCAAGCCGCACATGCAACCCGGACGGAGCGCTCACGAGCAATGCTTACAAGAGACTTGAGCAGATCATGAGTGTTACCACCACTTGCTACAGGATTCAATGCGGCCATTTCGCTCGCCGCGGTGCCAATGATGATCATGAATTGGCCGAGATAGTGAACACCACTGAGTGAATTCGAGAAGGGCGGCCAGAAGGCATAGTCCTCCCAGAACTCCCCGCGCTTGGGCGTGGGTATTGGCATGTTCTTCGGCTCGAGTTTGAAGCGTGATTCTGTGGGAGTCACGCCTTGGCTTATCGGACTATTCGGGGTTGCTGGTGATATTGGAGACGCCAGGAAGGCAGCATCATCCAAAGGTGGGTCAGCAAACAATGACAGCACATTTTCGCGAATTAGGTCGACCAACTCCACGACCCCGGTCTGTAGCTTCCTGGTCTCACTTTCGGCCAGCCGGTGATGTCTGCGGCTTTCTCCTTCGAACCCAGCGGGGAGAAGCTTCTGTCTGGAACCATCAATGAAGGATTGTGCTACTTCCCAGAAATCAAACACTTCGCCGAGTAGCCCACCCTGCGATGCCAGCAACTTGTTGAGATACGCTAGAATACATTCCCAGAGCTCGACTACCTGATCAGTGTCCAGCACGCCTTGCAGATCCGCTGATTCTTCTCGTGGTGCCAGGCGGAGATACGATGCCACAGCTTTGGGTGTTGGCTTGTCGCCGCCAGCAAGCCGGCGTCGGAGGATCTCAATCTCCATCTTGCAGCGTCCACAGAAGGCACCAATTTTAGACTTGAGGAAGTCATAGCGGCTGAGCAGCCACACCCAGATAGGGTTGTCGTCCACGCCCAATTCCAGCAGAGCGCCGATCAACTCCATATATTCTTCCACGGTGCCGGCCGCAGTGACCGTGGTTGATGTGGTAGGCGCATCGCTGAGACGTCTCCACAGATCGCGCTTGAACGCCTGGATCTGATGGTCCACATCCATCCACATCCGACCCATGGCGAGGATAGCGTGCGTTTCTTCGTCTGTCAGAGATCGCCCACTGCTGATTGCCTTGTGTGCAATATGCTTAGCGCTCTTGGCCAGCGTTCTTGCTTTTGTATATTGTTCGAATACAGAGTCGTAGTCCCTCTGCTTTATAGATTTCGAGAGAAGTCCACCGATCTCGTATACATCCCGGTGCTTCTCCATCGTGTCGACAACTGACTTGAGCATCTGTTCTCGCTCGCGCCCGCCCAACGCCGGACCCCAGACTTCTTCAGCTTTGACGGAGGCCTCCATGAGTGGGACTCGTATTCCCTTCATGCCATAATCGCTTTCCTTTGTTAGAGCATTCTTTCCGGGCCTGTCGTCCGCAAGAGGCGCGCTTCGCGAAGCTCCGGAAATACTTCGAAGATGTCCAGCTGACCTGCGATGTGACTGAGCCAGTGGAACATGGTTTGCTTTCCCTTGGTTTCTCATCTCCGTATAGACGCTATCGATTGTTGCTTTGGCCCGTACAAAGCGCTCGAAGTTCGCCTCGACGAGGACTTTCAATGACGCCGATTTCTGGTCGATAGATCTCGAGAGGAAGTCGAGTCCTTCAAGAAGTGACTCAATCGACGCATCGGAGTGAACTTGGGAGAGGAAAAGGGCGGGAGAAAATGAGGTTGACGAAAGCAAGAACCGGTTCCGTAAGCGGGTTTCGTCTTCCAAGGCTAGTCCTCGTTTCTTCAGGATCTGAAGGACGCTGTCGCCAGACCCGAGAGGATCGGGTTCATCGACCTTGGCAAGATTTTCCCTCGCATTGTTTCCTTTGAAGGATCCAAGGCTGAGGGCCTTACCACTATGACTGCGTTCGAGAGCGAAGTATCGGGACCTCCTGGCTCGCGAAGGAGTACGGCCCAGAGCTTCTTCGTCGTCGGAAGGTTCACTCTGATCAAGCTCAGCAGGCCATTCCTCAGGGTAGGCCGATGGAAGGTTATAATAATTTGCAACCTCGATGTCGGTCATGCTGGTATATCGCCAAGGCTAAGGGTGGAAGGGGGGATGGTGGATCAGTTGCTCGACCTCATGCTAGAAACACGCAACTGCAAGGGTAAGCAATGAAGGTACAACAGGAATTGAAACAGCTTACAGTACCATGACCCTGTAGATAAAGTGAAACTTTACCTTAAAAACCTTCATATATAGCGATGGCTGCTGACTGCTGTCCAACCTGAAGCGTTATCTGATCTGAACGGTGAACGATCAGTGGTGGAGCGACTACGGCAGACGGTAACTAGCTCAATGGTCATTTTAAGTTCCATCAAAGCAGCTTACAATTTTGCGATGTAAGTACGGAGGTATGGAGTTGACAGAGTGATATTTTATGGCTTAAGATAGTAAAATCGCCCACAAGAATCAATAGGCAGAAGAATTCACCTGCTGTGTCCAGATATCGTCCACATATAAAAAAGCAAGCCTACCTTACAACCTTACAAAGTGACCGTGCTGTCTGTACCTTAGGTATCCAGGAGGAGGAACAGAGTAAGTAGTGACCATACCGCCCACGTGTCAAACCGGGTTAGGAATAGCGGCTTCCCGAACGGGGCCAGTCGGACCGGCCGCACCCACTTGCGTAGTTGATACCTCAGGTTGCAGTAGGATTGATTGAGTGGTGGCTTTCGGGTTACCGGGATAATTGTTGCAAAAAGACCCTCTTCTCTCTGCCTCCAAAGTTCCCGCACAAGTGACCCGCCACGCGTACTATTCTTCTTCCTCTCTCTTTCTTTCCGTCTACCTTCAATTACTCTCCTCTCTAAAACCTGAACGTCGGTCGTTGATCCGGGGACCTATCACAATGATCTCTGCCAGAAATTTTGTTGCCCCGGCCCGCCAATGCCTGCGGACAACACGTGTGTCTCCAGGTTTTGCTTCGCCTCTGTCGCAGGTAATACACGATCTTCAGACGATCCCATTCGACTCCATTCAATTGCGAAACTGATCAAGCTAATGTTTCTATCTAGCTGCGCGGTTATGCCTCAGCTGCTGACGAACGGGTCGCCAAGTTCAAGGGACAGAAGGGTCCTGATGTACGTCAAGCCTCGATCACCTTTTTTTTACCTTTCCTTTCGTCTTGTCTGGTGACATCCGCCGCTGCTTCATGGAATATTCGACCTTCCGGCAGCCATTGAGCAGTAATTTTGGGGGAATATGAGAATATTACAAGGACTCGGGTCTGACGATGTTTGATCAACAGGGAAAGTACACAGTCACCCTGATTGAGGGTGACGGTATCGGTCCTGAAATTGCGCAGTCCGTGAAGGATATTTTTGCTGCCGCAAAGGTAGAGCTCGCTTTTCTTATTCGCTCTCGCGCCGGGGAATTGAGTACTAAATTAGCTGTAGGCCCCCATCAAGTGGGAGCCCGTCGACGTCACTCCCATCTTGAAGGACGGAAAGACCGCTATTCCCGACGACGCCATCAAAAGTGTGCAGAAGAACTATGTCGCTCTCAAGGGTCCTCTTGCTGTTAGTCAACCTCGTGCCCCTGGCGATCCGCAGAAATATAGTACTAAGACGAAATCATGCAGACTCCTGTCGGTAAGGGTCACGTTTCCCTTAACCTTACTCTCCGTCGTACTTTTAACCTGTTCGCGAACTTGCGTCCCTGCCGCTCGGTCGCCGGGTACAAGACTCCTTACGACAACGTCGATACTGTTCTGATCCGTGAGAACACCGAGGGTGAATACTCTGGCATTGAGCACGTTGTTGTCGATGGTGTTGTCCAGAGCATCAAGCTCATCACCAGAGAAGCTTCCGAGAGGGTTCTCCGTTTCGCCTTCCAGTACGCTCGTTCGGTCAACAAGAAGAAGGTCCGTGTCGTGCACAAGGCCACCATCATGAAGATGTCCGATGGTCTGTTCCTCAACACTGCCCGCGAAATCGCCAAGGAGTTCCCCGATATCGAGTTTGATGCTGAGCTGCTGGACAACTCTTGCCTGAAGATCGTTACCGATCCCACTCCTTACAACGACAAGGTCCTTGTCATGCCCAACCTGTACGGTGACATTCTGTCCGACATGTGCGCCGGCCTGATCGGTGGTCTCGGTCTCACTCCTTCCGGTAACATTGGTGACGAGTGCTCGATCTTCGAGGCCGTTCACGGCTCTGCTCCCGATATTGCTGGCAAGGGGCTCGCAAACCCCACTGCTCTGCTCCTGTCCAGTATTATGATGCTGCAGCACATGGGTCTCACCGAGCATGCTGCTCGTATTCAGAAGGCCACTTTCGACACCCTGGCTGAGGGCAAGGTATGTTCAGTCCCGTGATGATCTGTTCCGTTCTATGGAACTTTACGGATGCTAACATTCTATATCGCAGACTCTCACTGGTGACCTGGGAGGCAAGGCCAAGACTCACGAGTATGCTGAGGCTATCTGCAAGCGCCTGTAAGGGACTTGCCGTTGAATTGTACTATTCCCTCAAATGTCCTACTTTTAGCCCTTGAACGACCCTAGATCTTTTTTATATGTACTTAGATGTACTTAGTAAGATGCCACTTATACCGAAAGTTATCCTTTTTGTGCTCCTATACGATCCGACCTCACTGGTCGCTTCTGTACTTGCAAACAAACAGTACATCCAAGTGGTCGACGACACACTCCGTGTTTCTCATTTGAAGCTTGTTCCGTACTGGCCAGACCCTAACGTAAAGATGATCATAGTAGTACAAGCGTCATGGCTTCTGCATAATCATACATAAATCCTGCCGAACGCCTGCTCCGAGCTTTTCAAGGTATCGAAATGCAAAATCATGTCAAAAGATGAAAGAGAACCCCAAGGAGCTGAATCCTATCGTCGCCGACCACCTCTTCTGGTTCCTGTTCCCCCGCCCCTGCCTCCTTTTGGTCTGGATTTGGTCGTCTGCGCACGTGTGCTCCTTGTAGTTGGTGAGCCGCCTGTGTCTCCCTCCGCCTCGTCCTCTTCGCTCTCGTCTTGCGCCCCATCTGACCCTTCCTCGTCGCCTTCTTCGTTTGCCCCGGTCCCCTCGGACCCTACGTCTTCTTCCCCGGCGCCCGATCCTTTACGAGATTCAATCTCGACTTGGAGTCTCATCGAACGGGTGCCTCGCGTTCCTTGGCGAGCGCTGCGGGTTCCTTTTCTGCCTCGTGACGGTGCTGGGGATGAGCGTGGTTCTATAACCAGAACAAGAATTAGAATCACGCGAGTAGTCATAATAATAATTTCTCACCATCTGTATCCGCTATTGTACTGCATCTTCTGGACTCTGCTTGCGCACTGGGATTAGGTGACGCGGATCCCTCCATCGCAAGCCTCCTCTCGAACATCAGGTCGCCGTATTCGTCTTCGGGCAGTTCAAACGGGCAATAGAAGTCTTTTGATCCGTCAGGGTCATCAGATGGTTCTGTAATCAACGAATCTTCCTAGATCGTTAAAAATATTTCAGCACCGCAATTGAAGGAGGAAACGCGCGCCTGCCATTACGTACACGTTCATCGAGCGCAGGCAGGTTGTAGAGTGTCCCTAGCTTCTTCCATATTCCTGGTATCCGCGTGTGCTCGCAATTCGATGGCGCGTAGCCCTGGCTTTTCATGAACTCGGAGATTGCTATCATACGGAAGTGTTTGTGCATGCCTTGAGATATATGCACCGCTTAGTTTGTTTTTTGTCTTGTGGATGCAAATCATTGACCACGTTGAGTAAGAGATTGGTGGAACTTACCAACTGGCTTCCATTTGATAATCCCCTTCAGCAGAGCTGTCTCCTGCTCATCTGTCCAGGGATCCGCTACCAAATAGTGCCCATTGTCTGGCTTGCCTGCGCGCTCACTGGCAGGTGTATCGGCGGCCGGCTGCGCAGATTCGGCTTGGACATCAGTCAGCTTTGGTTTCTTCTTAGGTGGCATTGTAACATAGCACTGCCTTTAGACAGACAGTGAGCTACAGAAGGTAGCCTGGACAATGGAAATCCTGTCTGGTTATTTCAGGTCAGGTATGACGATGCGCGCAACGGCGCCTCGGATTCCCTAACAAACGGTGGCCCGGGCGTTGGCTGGGCGCAGGCGCTAGTACGCTTCAAGCTTAGTAGCATGTGATCGCGCGCCAACAACGCGTTAAGGCTCAGGATGCTGATAAGGAGTCGAGGATTGTATGCATGAAATGGGCACGGCATGGATGACGATGGATCAAGGCCAGTATGACGCGGATCCGTTCTCGAGCGATGGTTTGTGGAGAATTTCCAATTTTACCTTGGAATTTTTGCAGCCGTCGGATTTATTCCAATGGAATGAGAACCTACCTGGTACGTTCCACACATGAGCACTTGACGCGAATCATGGGCAGCTGACAGCTTCTCCTTGAAAGATTTGAATGAGGGGTTCTTTAAGAGCCCTCTGAAGCTACGCGCGGAAGATGCAGACCCATTGCCCCAGCTGGATAATATCGAAGGGCATACCTTTTTCCTCTTCGATCAAACGGCAGAGTCGATCACGGATGCGTTCAGTGATACTCAAGTAGACGATAACCTTAGCCACCAGAACAATGATATCTCTGAAGCTGAGCCAGATAGTATCTGGACTCTTGAAAACCTGCACAACGCTACAATTCCTGAGATTGCGCTGAGATCATGGGAGAGGTACCATGATCGATCGTCTCTCGAGCCGACGTCCGCTTATTTCAGCGAGTCCGGTTCGAAAGGCTTTGATTCGGCTTTGGCACGCCAGTACTGCGAAAATGGATCTAGAGACGCGGGACGTGTGGCTCGGAATGATGTTTTTTTCCATGCTCTATTCAGGCTGGGGCTCGGCTGGAGCTCCATATTCTTCCGTTACAATAAGCAGCGGAAAGCGTTCGAAAGGGTATCTGACAACGTTCGCGTTTCTGGGGTCAGCCTCACCGTTGCCAATGGCCTGACTGAGGATGTCCTCCGCTGTGGTACGGCTATGTACAACATAAGGGACTTTGCGCGCCGGACCCGGATCAAGCCCAAGGAATTCTCTGCTCGATCTGCTTTTGCCAGTGCTGCGGCTGTGATTATCTACACGCTTGAGAAGCAAATAATTAACTATTTCAAGGAAATCTCGTCCCTCGTTCAAATCATGACACTTTTTCAGCGGTGTGGTGAACTGGTTGGTGCGTTATCGAACATAGTCGAAGCAGTCCAGAAAGCTGCGTCAGATGCGCAAATAATCTCTGCTGTCATTGAGAAGGCGGCTCATTTTTCTCAGACTTTCGGCTCTATGGAAAATCTTTTTCATGAACTTGTTGCTCGTGTGATTGCACCTTGGCTCCATTACGTGGAAGCTTGGGTTGGCCTGCGCACTGAGACACCCGCATTAGTGGAAATGGCTGCGAAGAGTGAAGGCTTCCTGGCCGTAGAGCGATACGAGGGTAGAGCAGGTTCGAGAAGTGCGAAAGCAGCAAGTTTGCAATATCGTTATCATCCCGAAAAAATGCCGACCTTTATCCCCGCGGAGCAAGCAGAATTGATATTCGAGACAGGTCGAAGCTTGCGGCTACTCAGACAATACCATCCTCAACACCCAGTAGCAAAAGATGCCATTCTAGGCAAAGATGGCCCCAGTTTGCGATGTGCGGGAAGTTGGTCCGACATCGAGAGAATCCAAAAGAAAGCCCAGCAATATGAAGCTCAACTCCGCTCGGAAATCCTCAGATACAGTCGGGGCCAACACTCGGGGCAAGTGAGGAAGGATAAAGTACTTGCAGAAGACCAAATGCAGAAGTCTGGTTCTGCCGGAGACGACCAAGCTATCTCTGGTGCTTTCGAGCTCTTCGACATTGATGATTCCAAGCATACGACCGGGTTGCTTGCGAGTAACTCTTCCTTAGAAAATGACGAACTTGGACCATTGTTCGACACAAGTACGTTGGAGATGTCTCAACCAATTCATCCACACAGACACAATTTTGGACCAGAAATGATATCCGCTGTCTACCTTTCTCTGGCGCCTCTACTATCCTCCCAAGCTTTACTCATTGACTTTTCCTGTCTTCACCTCTTATTCAAGGAACACAATTTAAGATACCACCTCACCCTGCAGTGGCGATTTCAACTGTTGGGTGATGGCTTCTTTGCTTCGCGCCTCTCGCACTCACTTTTTGATCCTGAAATGGAGAGTGGCGAACGTAGATCAGGCGTCGTACGAAGCGGCGTGCATACCGGTTTGCGCCTAGGGAATCGGGACACTTGGCCTCCTGCGAGCTCCGAGTTGCGACTGGTATTGATCGGCCTTCTCAGTGATTGCAACCTGGACGAACGCCTAGACAATTCAAGTAATGCCGAGTTCCTCAGGGAACGGGAGCTTCCTGGTGGATTGAGTTTCTCAATTCGCGACTTGACCGATGAAGAGATTGTGAAATGCAAGGATCCAAATGCCATTGAAGCACTCGATTTTCTCCGTCTTCAGTATAAACCATCCCCAGTCCTGGAAACAATTATAACGCAGCGATCCTTAGATCAATACGACCGCCTATTCAAGCATTTGCTACGCCTGATCCGCATGGTTTCGGTAGTCAGAGGTCTCATTCGCGACTCAACCGCAAGGAGCTCTCTTTCCGGGGATACACGGAATCTCTTTCAGAGATTCCGCATCGACTGCCAACATTTCGTCCTTGCCGTCAGCGATTACTGTTTTCACATCGGCGTCGGCTCTACCTGGCACAGTTTCCAGGATACGCTTACGAGAATTGAATACTGCCTTGAGCATGGCGACATAGACGGTGTTATAGAAGCAGCACACTCCGTTTCCTGGCTGAGAAGGTACCACGAAGATACCCTCGACCAGATGCTCTTCGCCCTGTTCCTGAGCAAGAGACACGCCGAGGCCGCCAGATTGCTTGAGAAGATCTTTGGGACGATTCTGACATTTGCTCCGCTGTCCCGGCTCGATGGGCTGGAGGGGGTTCGTCATGAGAGCGAAGATACAATTGCGCAACTCTATGCGACCTTCCGAAAACAAACATCGGCCTTTGTCGGCTACCTGCGCGGGTTGGATGGGGTAAAGGCTTCATCCAAGTTCGCCGGCGGGTCGAGAGCAGAACCAATAAGCGTTTTCGAGCGTCTTCTGGTGCGATTAGACATGAAAAGATACTACTGACCGAGTCAACGCGGATGACTGCATGAATAAGTCAACCCCGGTCGAAGTTGCCTTGCTGCCTATTTCAAATCATGGCCACCACAAGTACGCACGGATTCGAATGCTGCTTCGCTGTGAACGGGGTCATTAACGGGCTGAAACACACTTCACGTCACCTCGTTCTGTGTTCAGCTAGCAACTTTCAGAGATTTTCCAGTCATTGCATAGGACGTAACATTTCATTTGCGAATGTGCGAATACCTAGCAAGTATCTCTATTGACATGACATAATCGATCTCGTTTACCTCGTTATTTCCCAAATTATTCCCATACATGCAGTCCCAGAACGCCAGCCTTCCGTTCAGTAATCATGATCGCTATGAAAACGCTCGCAGCCATTCTAAACAACCTAGAAGAAATGAAGATTGGACTCTTTCCACCCCTGGGCTAAAAGGATCGTCTTGGCAGATTTTTCCATCGCCTCAGGCCCGCAGATGAGTACCATGCTCTCATCGTCAGGCGCCGCAAACTCCTTCAGAAGTGCTTCACCGATGCGTCCTCTCCGGCCAGTCCATGTGTCTGGCGCTTTGCTGAGAGTATGTACAATCGTGCACTTGTTCTTATCTGATGCCTCAAATGCATCGAGCTCGGCTCGACACAGGATATCCTCCTCGTGCCTGTTCCCAAAGAGGACAACGCACAAAGTGGGATCTTGAGGGTCTTGCATCACTGCGCGGAGAACTTGGAAGATCGGGGTGATACCAGTACCGCCGCAGATCATCTTGAAGGAGCGTACGCGCCGCTCCTTACCGCTAATGGTAACCCTGCCGTTTCCGAGATACTCGAACCGGCCTGTAGGGCCCTTGCACTCGATCATTGAGTCCAGGGGAAGCTGGTCGAGGGCCAGTGTCATTTTTCCACCGGGTACAGTTGGCGTTGGAAAGTAGACCTTGATGAGCACATCAACTAACCCCTCTTTGTTGGGATCGGAGAGCGGGGTGTATGACCGAATGATAGTTTCTTTGGTTGTGGGGTCCTGGACCTTGATCATCATATGCTGTCCAATCGGTAGGCCCAGCTTTTGCTTCTGGTGTTCCAGTTCGAAGGTGAATATGCGCGTATCCCAGGAAACATCCCGCTTTGCTGCGAGTTTCACCTTCGTCCATGACCGTGGTTGGAGGAAGAGTGCACGAGGCTCGCTGGGCTCTTCTTCTTTGCCGGCTTCTTTGAGCGCCTTCAGGGACCCCTCGTCCATTGTGCCGATGTGATAGTCAGGCATCATTGCTTTCGCCGTCTCGCTATCTGTTATTGAAGTCAGCTCTGTATTCTCTCAAAGAGAAAAAAGGGACGGTTGTTGCAGAACTCACGGATTTCGGAAAAATCCTCAGTCACATCCAGCCCAATGGAAGAGATGATACTCTGTGCTCCTCCCGGGTGACCTTCAAGGAACGGCTTGCCGTCATAAACTTCTCCCTTCACAATAAACCAATGGGCGCCCTCTTCGTTGTTCTTCTTGAACTCTTCGAGACTAATAGTTCGATTCAAGCCTTCCTTCTTCATGTTGATTTCCTTCACAGGTTCGGGTTCTACAACTGTTTCTCCTTCTTGGCTCTCTCCCCAATTGCCGTTGGTCAGATCGCCGCCAGCCTTCTTGACGCGTTCCATCCAGCCGCCGGCCATGACAGGATGAGTAGGGTGTTCGAACAACAATGTCCCATTCTGTTTTGTGATCGTTACTCGGAACCAAGGATTGTTCATCATTCCGAGAACGGACCAGTACATGTCGCGGGGTTGGACGCTCATCGCTTCATCCATACCTCTCACTAGCAGGGCGTCGCTAGCTTCCAGATCGGACACAGGAATATCGAGAGACCAGAAACACCAGCAGTAACATGTTTCACGCCAAGGCATGTCGACTCTGCCGCCGAACAATTCGCCATCAAAGTCGCGGTACCTGTCCTCAGCATACTGAATGTTCGCCAAACGCCAAGCTGTAAGACGAGTTAGCTTCGCTAAGAGATGATAAAGAATGAACAGCATACATTTGCCTTTGTTCAGCGAGATCTCGACTCTAGTGACTCTTCGGCCTCCTCCAGCATATGCATAACCCCGGGCGGTGTAGGATGGCCCAGCTGTCGCAAGATCAAGGACTTCGTTGTGTTGAGGGTACGCAGCAGCAGAATTCACGTTGAGATCATAAATGGCATAGCGTTCGTCACGCCACCACATCGGATCTGAAGCGGCCATTTCGGGAGAGACGGTCGTTCTGTTGCAAAGCTCAGCAGGTGGCCATTATGAGGTCTTTCGGTCCACTTACGGTAATACTCGGTTGTCATAGATGTGGTACCAGTTGTCACTGGGTGCATCAGTCAAGATCAGTTTCTTGATCCACTTCACGCTTCGACCGCCGATTTGACCAGGTACAACAGCTCTCAAGGGACGACCGTGATCCGGACGAAGAGGCTCGCCATTCATCTTATGCGCAAGCATGATCAATTTGTTGGGATCCATGGCCCAATTGAGCTTGACTGATGTGCCATAATAGCCATTAGGCTATAGCAAAGTCAGTGGACCAGAGAATGGCATGGCAATTCCAGGAGGAATACTGACCAGCTTATCTGCACCCTCCATGCAGACGTACTTGGCTTGACGCAGTGGCTTCGCGTACCGCAGAACATCCGCCATCAAGGGGCCGGTAAAAAGGGCAGTTGAAAGACCAGCTGGTCCCCAAGAGAAACCTTTTGATTTCCGCACTGTGTTTTGCTCCTTGCGTCTGTTTCCGGCGCATACGAGTGTAATTGGGGCTGTGATCTGATCGAATTTCTGCAAAATCTGACGAAAGTTCAAGACGACGGGCCGCTCGACCAGCCTTTACGAGAGTTAGTTCCCTCGGCATTTGAACAACATCATCGAACAATCACTTACCCTTCGATGCTGATCTCCCAGTTTGGAATATCATCGTCACGCACCAGAGGGACAGGTCCATGGTTCCTGACGTAGAAGAGTTCTGGTGATGTCAAGAAACCTTTACGTGGGTGGTGAGCCGAGTGCCATGCCGATTGGAATAAAGTGAGCTTCAAAAGAGAGTTCATACCTTCATTGAACAGGGCTGTCAGTGGAGGTTCGACATTGAATGGGTGGACGCCCGTTAATCTGATGAGCCGAGGGTCTCGAGGAACATGATTGTCTGGTGTGCCCTTGTCTTGAGCGAGGATCTCAGTCGGGTTCGTGGATGGCGGTGGAAGGGGGATATCTGGCAGGTCGAGATTCGAGATCTCCTTGACTGTGATCTGGCCTGGTACTACCGTAAGGCTCTTCGGCAAGACTGTCTGTGTCTCCTGTGTCTGAACTTGGGTTATGGTCGCCATCGCTCAGAGTACCACGGCTGATGATGATGGTATAGAATGAAGGGAACTCGGAGAAGCGAGCCGGCTTTTTTAGACTAGAAATCCCTCTACGATAGGCCAGACAGAAGAAGGCAACCATAGTCAGACTGGAATGAATCAGGAAAATGACGCATTCTGTTTCCAAGTGAGGAAGCCACTAGTCAGACACATTCTCTTGACACAGAAATTGCCATATTTACTTGTACAAACAATGGCCTCGGAGAAAGGCTGGAAGTAGGCCGGGGATATGTTCATGATGACGATCTCCGCGGGATCTCATGGTAGTATTGGGTTGGAAAACAGCTAGATAAGCCTTAAGCTACCACGGTATCTGCTCGGATCGCTGCGATCCCGATAGTGCAAATGAGAACTGGGTCTGGTATCCGCCATATCATAGGAGCTCTCACGCCAGTGTGGACTGTGGACGAGGAAATACAGCCTGTACCTTTATTGGCATGGAAACAAGCTGGGCGCCCTTGGAGCACACTGTGGAATTAGGGAGAATCATGAGACATTTCTTCAAAAATGAGGCCCATTCCTCCCACCCGCCACGGTGGGACGAAAGTAAGGGGACGATCCCAGAAGCAAGTCCAGCGGCTCTGATCTTATTGTTGACCGTGCCACTTTCCCGGGCTCAGTGGCTGTGGTAAGGATCATAGATAGACAGACCAACCGACATAGGTCCCCGGGTATCTCCATGGAAGTCGATCTGGAATTATTCGGGTGGAGGCAAAAGCAATCCTGCTTATCTTTGGTGCTCGGATGGGCTCTCACTCGGCAGAGATAAGGGGTGACAAAGGGCTGGTTTAGTCTCCGCGGAAATAGAAAGGGAGATCCGCTATCGTTCTTATCAGTCCACCCTGACGATAATAGACATGTCTTCATGCAGAGATAGTCGGTCCCTGTTGCCACAATCACTAACAACCCCACGATGGTGTTATGTCGTACGGCTTGACTCTCCGCGAATATCGGCGATTAGGCTCGAACATAGGTGGATGCGATCGTAGCAGGGTTGGCCGATGACAATAAATTATTAGCAGAAATTAAAAGCAACTGACTGGTCGCCTCTTCGTGGATGCCAAGTCAGCCAATCTTGTAGATTGTATATGAGCAGAGAGGTCCTCAGCCATCCCCTAGAAAAGAGATAGAGAGGAGAGTTTAATATCCTTGTAATGACTTGTGGTCAATACTGGCATTGAGGCTTAGTCACGATGCCGTTGATTGACAGCTCAAGAAACAACGATGCTGTCCACAGCAGTATCAGCAACGGTATATCCCATGCGACAGTCGTCGAATCTGTCAGAGACCGAGATTATCGTCACAATGACCCGAACCGGCGGCAAAAGATTGTGGTCGTCGGGTTGGGCATGGTAGCGATCTCATTCATGTATGTTGCCAGCTCGATGGATAAGGACCGATCTCGAGAAGGGTTGCCTACTAACTACCGGTACCATCAAATAGTGAGAAAATCGTCAAACAAGATGCAGAGAGACGCAAGTACGATATTGTTGTGATTGGGGAGGAGCCGCACATTGCCTATAATCGTGTCGGTCTCTCCTCATTTTTTGAACATCGCAAGATCGAGGATTTGTACCTCAATCCCAAGGAATGGGTAAGTACTTAACAATCAAGTATTCAGGCTTTCCATCCAGCTGATACTAAGTTTACATAGTACGGGTCGTTCGAGGACCGGTCATTCGATTATCACCTCAACACCAAAGTCACCGACATTTTCCCTGACCACAAGACCGTCAGGACGTCAACTGGCGACGTCATCCCCTATGATATCCTAGTCCTCGCTACAGGCTCAGATGCAGTACTCCCCACACACACTCCTGGCTATGATGCCAAGGGTATCTTCGTTTACAGAACAATCCAAGACCTGGAACGTCTCATCGAGTTCGCTTCGAAGCACAAGGGCGAGACCGCGGTTACTGTAGGAGGAGGCTTGCTGGGCCTGGAAGCAGCCAAAGCAATGACAGATCTCGAGGATTTCGGAAAGGTCAAACTCATTGACCGCAATAAGTGGGTTTTAGCACGGCAGCTCGACGGTGATGCCGGCACGCTGGTAACTCGGAAGATCAGAGAGCTTGGCCTGGACGTATTACACGAGAAGCGGGTCGCGAAGATCAAAACGGATGACGACAACAACGTCGCTGGCATCATCTTTGAAGATGGGGAAGAGGTTGACTGCTGCTGCATTTGTTTTGCTGTAAGTCTCTATAGAAGAGCACCATCAGTACTCTGCTAAACTTGCCTCTAGATTGGAGTGCGACCCAGAGATGAGCTGGGGCCTCCTGCCGGCATTCAGTGCGCTGGACGGGGAGGTTTTGTGATCAATGAAAGGTCAGTACATATTGTTCTTTCAGATATCTATCGTGAACTGACTCGATACTCGATCTTAGTTTACAAACTTCCATTCCCGACATCTATGCCATTGGCGAATGTGCTAGTTGGGAGAATCAGACGTTCGGGATCATCGCACCCGGGATTGAAATGGCCGATGTGCTTTCCTTCAACCTGACAAATCCCGATAAGGAGCCAAAGAGCTTCAAGCGACCCGATCTGAGCACAAAGCTCAAGCTCCTTGGTGTTGACGTTGCCAGCTTTGGAGACTTCTTTGCCGACAGAGATGGGCCTAAATTCCTTCCGGGGCAACGGCCATCGATTGTCGATGGCTCTGTGAGCGCTGATGGCGACAAAGAGCTCAATGTCAAGGCATTGACATACAAGGACCCCTTCGCCGGAGTCTACAAGAAGTACTTGTTCACTATGGATGGGAAGTACTTGCTTGGAGGTATGATGATTGGCGACACCAAGGACTACGTGAAATTGAACCAGATGGTCAAGAGCCAGAAGCCTCTCGAAGTACCTCCCAGTCAGTTTATCCTTGGATCCCAGAAGGACGGCGAAGAGAATGCCGACGATTTGTAAGTCTTGCGATTGCGTGCTGGACAGGAAAAGGCACTAACACGAACACCACAGAGATGACGACGCTCAGATCTGCTCGTGCCACAATGTCACAAAAGGGGACATCGTTGAAAATGTCAAGAGTGGTACATGCAAGACTATTGGCGAGGTTAAGTCGTGCACGAAAGCAGGGAGTGGCTGTGGTGGCTGTATGCCATTGGTGCAGTCGATCTTCAACAAGGCCATGCTGGACATGGGCCAAGAAGTATCTAACCATCGTAAGTGTCTGATGCAATGACTCTAATGGTATGCTCTAACCAAGTTATAGTCTGCATGCACATCCCATATTCACGAGCCGATCTCTATACTGTAATCGCTGTCAAGAGACTGAAAACATTTGTCGATGTCATGCAGGCCGTGGGAAGGAAGCCGAACTCTCTAGGCTGCGAGATTTGCAAACCTGCCATTGCGTCCATTCTTTCGAGTTTGTTCAACCAGCACATCATGGACAAGGAGCTTCATGACCTTCAAGAGACAAATGACCGATTCCTTGCCAATATCCAGAGAAACGGAACGTTCTCTGTGGTTCCGCGAGTCCCTGGTGGTGAGATCACTGCGGATAAGCTGATCACCATTGGTCAGGTGGCAAAGAAATACGACCTCTACTGCAAGATTACAGGAGGTCAGCGTATTGACTTGTTTGGTGCCAAGAAGCAAGATCTACTTGACATCTGGACGGAGCTCGTGGATGCGGGAATGGAGAGTGGTCACGCTTACGCCAAGTCGCTCCGCACAATCAAGGTACTGCCACCCGTTTAGGTTTATGTTTCCAAGCTGACGTATTCTATCAGAGCTGCGTCGGAACTACATGGTGCCGGTTCGGTATCGGCGACAGTGTTGGAATGGCGGTTCGACTGGAGGAGCGCTACAAGAGTATTCGGTCACCTCATAAGCTCAAGGGAGCGGTATCTGGTTGTGTCAGAGAGTGCGCCGAAGCTCAGAACAAGGAGTAAGTACAAGATCGTTTTTCTAGACTGTAAAGTTGCATGCGGCTAATTTCTGATCAGTTTCGGATTGATTGCAACCGAGAAGGGATACAACATTTTCGTTGGTGGCAATGGAGGTGCCAAACCTCGGCATTCGGAATTGCTTGCGAAAGATGTGCCTCCTGAGAAAGTCATTCCTATCATTGATCGATATCTCATCTTCTATATTAGAACGGCAGACAAACTTCAGCGGACTGCCCGGTGGATCGAGAACCTCCCCGGCGGAATCAACTATCTGCGAGAGGTGATCATCGACGACAAATTGGGGATTGGCGCTGAGATGGAACAGCAGATGGAAGAACTGGTGAACAGCTACTTTTGTGAGTGGACTGAGACGGTCCGCAATCCTAAGCGACGCAAGTACTTTCAACAGTTCGCCAACAGCGATGAGACTGTCGACACGGTTGAGGTCATCAAAGAACGTGAACAGCAGCGGCCCACATACTGGCCCAAGGACTCTGCAAACGAGGACTTCAAGGGTCACCAGTGGTCGACTCTATCATGGCAGCCTGTCGTCGAAGCCAACTACTTTTCAGATGAGCACCCGCAAATTTCCTCGGCCAACATCAAGCGCGGGGATACTCAGTTGGCTATCTTCAAGGTCAAGGGCAAGTACTACGCCACGCAACAAATGTGCCCGCACAAACGCGCCTTCGTCCTATCTGACGGCCTGATTGGCGATGACGATGCGGGTAAATATTGGGTCTCTTGCCCTTACCACAAACGCAACTTCGAGCTCAACGGTGAGCAGGCAGGGCGTTGCACGAATGACGAGAGCATGAACATTGCGACCTTCCCGGTTGAGGAACGCGACGACGGCTGGGTGTATATGAAGCTGCCACCTGTGGAGGAACTAGATTCGGTTCTGGGAACCGAGAAATGGAAGGTGAAGAAGGGGAAGCACCAGACCCGTTCCAGAAGGTCGACAAGAGGTACAAGGGCATGAGGGGCAAGAAGGCGTGTGATATCAGTACGCAAGCGCCGCCGACACAGGCGGCAAACATCATTGATTGGTAGCATGACTATGGCATACAGATGAGGCGTACCGGTTGTCATTAACATTGGGTCCTTTTTACTTGCTATGTTTGCATGTATTATGAGTTGCACAGATATCCTTGTCCTTTAGTATACAATATAGTTGATTATGATCGGAAACATTGTGTATGCCATCCTTGCAAAAGTCGCATATTTGTTCCATGGAGAGCCAAATCCTGCAATATATCAGTACATATCGGGAATGCCTCATCCAAAAATGGTGATTGCTGTAGGAGAGGCTTTGTTGGCGCCTGAATGGACTGAGGCAGGAATGGTATCAGCATTAGGGTAACACCAGTCACGTGAAACAGCCATTGCCTGGCGGCCTGACTGATTGGCTCACCGCTGATCGTTTCTTATCTTCCCCTATCTATGGTACGTATTGCTTTCCCACTTTTCAGACTTCCACCTCCATTCGGGCAGACTACGGTCGAGACAATTTCTGGCCTTATCTCGGTCCCCACTGGGATTATCCACTTTTGTCTCCATCGCTGCCTTAAAAGGAGAGCATTTCTTCTTCACATTTCCGCGGAGCTCGTTGTCAGCCCTCACTATTTTCGTCTCCCAGTCTGGCTGCGTCGGAAGAGAGATGTGCTCTGAGGCTGTGACACACGGCAATGCCGCCACTATCTGTCTCTTCCAGGCACATGGAAGATTCTGAGGGCGTCATTTTCCGGGAGACTGTCCAATGAGGTGCAACCCGGTTATCAACACCTCCGGCTCATCCTCGCCCATGGCCATGACCTACCGAGAATCCCACGCGGGTCCTTCGTTCCTAGTTCCATGGTCTTTGTGGCCATTCTGTCGATCAGTAGGCTCAAGATGCCTGCGGGATCAGCAAATACCAATACAGACGCTATCTGTGTCCTGATATCAGGGCGGTCCGAACGGGGAAACGATGACTCCAGATTTGGCTCTTATCGAACCCTTATCTCTGCAGTGCATTGGCTGGTACGCGGGCTAGCTACCCTGCAGCCCTTTTCAGACCGTCTATCAGATAATTGTATCAGACGCTCTGTGAATCAAAAAAACGATTACCAAGGTGTTGGACCGATGACTGTCCAATAATACGACTCCTATTGTCAGGAACTACGCCATGGGAAAAGGCAAGTGGATCGTCCAGTTAAACTGGGAAGATAGGGTTGACATTATCTTTTCTCATCTTTGCTTATCCGTTACGAATATCAAAAAGACAGCAGCTCCCTCTGATCTAATCTATACGGAGGATATGCGTCCGTCATAGGCCATGTAGCTACATGGCCTCGAATCAGTGCAACACTCCTAGGAGATAGCTGATGCTTTAGGCTTGCCACACATGGAAATCAAGATGTCTGCAGCGCTTACGTCGTTTGTCTTTTTCTGGTACACCTTTCTCTGCCTCTGAGGCATCATCTTATATAGCCGTTGCTCCTGTCCATGACAGTCCGCCGAACAGATCTAGACAGCAATCAAGCTTTCTTATACATTCTCATTAGTCTACTTGTCTTGGAATAACTGGTGGCCCGTTGCGCAATCAATCGGTCCAAACTACTGTCTGCTTTGTCAACTCTCGGTTGTACGCCGACCAACTAGCAGGGGAAGTACTTCGGGCAATAATGGACACACTCAAATTACTTGTCGTCTCTCCGGAGATCAACCCCAGTAACCGAAAAGCAAGGTCGATACCAGTCCTCAATCCCTTCGACCGATATGGCCGGGTATTCTTCTTCTCGTGGCTCGGCTTCATGGTGGCATTCCTGTCATGGTATGCATTTCCACCTCTGGTAAGTCAATGGTCTCCTATACGGGAAGCACTTGGAGAAGTGGAACAATTGACTGAGACTGGCTGTCTAGTTAACGGTGACCATTCGCAAAGATCTTCATATGACACAGCAACAAGTCGCAAACTCGAACATTGTTGCTCTTCTGGCTACGTAAGTATTGAAAAAGTTCTTCTGAATCAAGCACGCTGACGAGCACAGATTCCTTGTTCGATTCATCGCTGGGCCGCTATGTGACCGCTTCGGACCTCGACTTGTTTTCATCGGCCTCTTGCTTTGTGGCTCTATTCCTACGGCTATGGCTGGTCTGGTGACCACCCCTAGTGGTTTAATCGCACTGCGTTTCTTCGTCGGCATCCTTGGTGGTACATTTGTCCCTTGCCAAGTATGGTGCACCGGTTTCTTCGATAAGAACATTGTGGGGACCGCCAACTCTCTGGCCGCAGGCTGGGGTAATGCTGGAGGTGGAATCACATAGTAAGACGCCCGCCCGGGTAAATCTACCGCCATGGGGCTCTCTGACATTTGTCCTCGCAGTTTCATCATGCCTGCTATCTACGACTCGCTTGTTCACTCTCAAGGCCTCGCACCGCATAAAGCATGGCGCGTTTCCTACATTGTCCCATTCATAATCATCGTCGTCCTGGCTCTCTGCATGCTGTTCATATGCGAGGATACCCCTACTGGCAATTGGTCGGAGCGCCACATCTGGATGAAGGAGAACAATGAATCCCAAGCCAATATCATCAATCTTATGTCGGGCAGCCCCTCTACCCGCCCATCTGGTCCTCCGTCTATCAATCTATCTACTCCGCAATCCGAGAAGAAGGGTATCCAGACACCTCAGATGGTCGATCCTGAAGCTCAAGCTGTTGGACAGGTTGACATCCTCAGAACAGACACCGTGGTGGCCCCCAGCAGCAAGGAGGTCATGAACGTTCTTCTCAGTCTCTCCACAGCCGCTGTTGCCATCCCATATGCCTGTTCCTTTGGATCCGAGCTCGCTATCAACTCCATTCTGGGCGAATTCTATTCCAAGAACTTCCCTGACATGGGCCAAACCGAGTCCGGCCGCTGGGCAGCCATGTTCGGCCTTCTGAACGTCGTTTTCCGTCCTGCTGGTGGATTCATTGCAGACATGCTGTACAAGTACACAGGAGCCGTATGGTCCAAGAAACTTCTTCTGTCTTTCCTCGGTGTTGTCACGGGTGCTTTCCAACTGGCCATTGGCCTCACCGACCCTCGATCCGAAGCAACCATGTTCGGTCTCACCGCCGGACTGGCATTCTTCTTGGAAGCATGCAATGGCGCCAACTTCGCCGTCGTACCTCACGTTCATCCTTTCGCGAATGGTAAGATACCTCTCTTCCGTCCTTTCCCTGAAGCCCCACTTGCTAACGATCTGTCTCTGCAGGTGTTGTCTCCGGTGCCGTAGGCGGCATGGGAAACCTTGGCGGAATCATCTTCGCCATCATCATCCGATGCAATGAGACGCAGTACAGCCGGTCCCTCTGGATCATCGGCGTGATCTCCATCGCCGCCAACCTGGCCGTTTCGTGGATTCGACCAGTACCGAAATCCCAAATGATGCGGCAATGACCACAATACGAATTGTTACGATAGAACCTCCTGCATGATTCCACGTTCGACTTGCATTTTGGATACCTCGGATCATCAGCGATACATAGATCGGCGTTTGGATGCATTCTGCTTTGGGAACTCTTCACATATCACCTTGGAATTTTATTACTAGTCTTAATGAAGATTCATGATTCTCAAACATACACATATCTCACACCTAGATATAACCTTGTCCATCTTTAATAATCACCATAGAAATTGTACTCCGTCCAAATCCCCCACATAATCCAATCTCGGGTCAAAGCACCCCGAGCGGAATCCTAAGAGGGGCATCACAATCAGAACAGAACAACAAGTTCCTTCTCCATCCTTCTCAATAAAAATATCAATAGCTAGCATCGCATTGATACACATCTCACCGAAACCGAAACAGCCCATAACCCAGCCAAAAAAAAAAAAAAATGGCACCAGTCCGCCGCATCGCGCAAATCGTCCACCTGAAGCCCTCCGCCGTCAAGGCCTATAAAGAATGCCACGCGAACGTATGGCCCGAGGTCCTGCAGCAGATCGAGGATTGCAATATCAGAGACTGTGCGTAGAGACTTTACCTTTCCATATGCAGAGATTAAAGCATGCTGGGGGCTTAGCTGATTAAGTGATTATGACCTTTATGTAGACTCGATCTTCTTCGACAATGAGCGCACGTTATTTGCGACGTTCAAGTATGTCGGGGACGACTATGAGGCTGATATGGAGAAGATGAGGGCGAATCCGAAAGTGCGGGAGTGGTGGGCGATGACTGATGGGATGCAGGTATGCTGGTTCAGCTGACTGAAGTTACGAACATAAAAAATGGGTCGACACTGATGTGTTCTTACTTGCAGGAGAGTCCCATTCCTGGTGCTGTGGGCAGTGCAGAGGGCCCTGGGTGGTGGAAGGTCCTGGACGAAGTCTTTTACACCGATTGAACTTTGGATTAGATGCCAGCATAATAATTTAATACTTACGAGACCCTTGCTTCGGTGATTCAGGTACGACATTGACATGCCGGAGCTGGAAGAATGCTCCGATTAAAAACGGCACAAGATAATGCAATACTGCTGCTAGCAGCAGAGAGCAAATGGATTATTAAATTCAAGCAAAGTGCCTGTCGCATTAGGATGCTCAGGAGTCAAGATGGTTTCCAAAATCGTGGATATCAACCAGGATTCTCCAGATTTTCAGGAATCCAGACACTGGGTGAGCATCGCCGGTAACGCTAAGATTGAACGAACGAAGAAACCGTAGAGATAAGCATTGCAGAGATGGGTATCTTCACCAGGAAATTCCGCAACCACCCAAGATTTGCTCCCAAGAACGCCTTATCCATCAAGCAAGCAAAAGAGGACTGTCATAACTCGTTGAATCCCAAGCTTGTACTCGCGGAATGCGGACGACCATCGCCTTTAGTCAACGCTTGGGGGCACATCCTTGAGAATTTCCCAACCGTACTCTTCCTCTGGTTTCTCTGGCTCCATACCAAGGGCATTGCGATACGCGCGTACCTCGTTCTGTAAACCAGAGACGATGCGAATGGGCAACTCTTCCTCTTCGCAGCGAAGGCGGTAGGCAGTGCGGATCATCTCAGCGCACTTCATGGTCTGAGAGTGCCAATGGTCGCGGTCGAGACGACTTTCCAGATGAGCGTCGCGTTCGGCTTGGAGCAGATTGTTGTAGTGGCGTTTCTGAGCAAGGAAATTCATGTTGTTGTTCTGACAGTAGTTGCGGATCTGTTCGACCATGGTTCCAACAGCTGCTTCATATTCACCGATCAGTCTGGTGTTCTCGACCTGTTCCTGCTTCAAAACCTCAACAAGGCGCTTCTCCTTCGCGAGGGCACGTTCGAGTTCGGCGATACGGGCAGCTAACATAGAGAACTGTCAGCGGCCTTTAAATTCGAGAGACAATGGTAAACTTGGCTTCCTACCGGAAATTTCACCATTGACCTGCTGCAAGCTGGGAGTAGTTCCTTCGGAAGAGGCACGCTTCTGCAATCTCTGTCAGCGAAACATCCAAACAGCAGATTCGCAGAGCTACAGTGTAGCCTTCACGATCCGACCAACGTACCATGATTTCCTCCGCAGTAGATACAATGCTCTTGGTCGTCTCGCGGTTGTTCTTCAAAACCTCACTCAGCTCCAACACCATCTCATACAGATGATGAAGATCCATTTGATGGCCGGCATTCATAGGTATGCTAGCGTTCATACCGGGTATTCCACTACCGTTGACCTGAGTCGAGGGGCTCGGCATGGCGGGGGACATCGACTGACGAGAAGCGTTGGGCAAATTTGCGGAGTTACCGGTGTTGTCGACGTAATTAGAGAACATGCCCGAACCAGGGTTGTTGCTAGGAATACCACTGCCGCTGTTCAGGGACATACTCGCGGAAGCGAAGGCAGAGTTCAATTCGTCGAGCGTAGACGGATTGATGCTTGCTGGAGATCCGCCAACCTCCTCGCACCAGAGAGAAGGGTCTTCAACAATACCTAGAACTTCCTTTCTAAATTTCTCAAGGTCACGACGACTAACGTGGGTGGAGCGACGGCGATGTCCACGCACGAAAGGTGCCTTGGAATCCGCGGGGAAAGTAGACGCGTCGATGGTGCCGGATTGAGGTGTCTGACAGAAGAGTGGACTATCGGCCAGTGACACAAGGGAAAGGGACTCCTCCGGGGATGCCTGTGGAAGTGAAGAATCCAGCTCGAGCTCTCGCGGTGCCGGAGATGCTAGAGGAGGGTAGTCAAGCTTGGGGGAAGCTGGAGGGACGCCAACACCAAAACAGTCAAGCGCCGGAGTTTCGGAAACACAACTCCGATCATCTTCACTAGTAATGGAGACTGGAGCACTGGAATCATCATTCTCCATCCCTTCCATATTGCCAGTTGATAGGAAGTGGTGAACGATGGGAGCTCTGGAATAAAAAAGTATCTGGATGATTGTTCTACACTAAGTGAGGGGCAAGAAACGATAAATTGCGACAGGTAGGAGTAGGTGACAATGGTGACTAGCAGGAAAGTAGTCCATTAGTTTCATGATTTTCTCTTCATTATTATGTCGCTGGCACCTGCTGTATGTGAATTTGCCGTGCCGCTGCAGTCAATCTGCCCCAGGTTTCCCTTCAAACCCCCTTGCAACCCTTTAATGACATAAAAATAGCAATCGCATCAGTCATTTTCTACCGGGAATATGATACAAACTACAGAGTACTAAGCTTTGAATGTCTTCTGCCTTACTTCGGAATAACAGATAGTCTCCGTCTCGGCCGATTTCTTGGTGTCTTCGTATCTGACCTCTGCCTAGTTTGAGTTCAGGTCTGCTCATGTCATGTCGAGAAGCGCTGCAAGCTTCTCATCTGCTCCTAATGCATAAGGCGGGCTTCTTTCCGAAGAGGTGTTCCTCTCCTTACTCTGCTCGATCCGGCCGCCGACGCGGGCAACAAGCATTCGCATTTTTTCCAACTCTTGAACAAGCTCACCGTCTCTCGTGACAAGGTTGGGCTGGATATTGTTCTGAGGCTCGGTGAAAGGTTCCAGTAATTTCTGTAACCGCCTCAACTGGTCAAGGCGCCGTTGTCGTTGCTGTCGCTCAATGTCTAGGCGCATAAGCCGTTCTCGTAGCTCCTGATACCTGTACCACGACCATCAGCCAGATGAAATCAAAAATTATCTTGTGTGATTTCAAACCTTAACCGCTCCTCCTCACTTGCATGTTGGTCCTCTAATTCCGCGGGCAATTGAGTAATGTTGCTGCGATATGTCAGCAAGGTGGGCTGAGAGGCGTCCGTATCGCAGAACTCACAGGTGACTGCACAAATCTACTGTAGTCTCCAACCGCTTGTCGGAAAATCCAACAGTGTGTGTGGCCTGACTAACTAATGACCAGTAAAGGCTTGTGATTTGTTGCGCGACATGTTGAATTGCTTGAGAGGAGTAGATGATGCGATTGTGCTGTTTCAAGGCTCCGTTTACTAGAAACGTTAAGTCACTGAGTACACATTGAGATGGACTTGCAATTAATTCCCATCTCGAGGACATCAAGCAGTGCAGGCAGCAAAGGACTAAGCCTAGGACAGACTCACATTTCTGCAGCGCATCCTGAACCGCCTTATCACTCAACTCATCCTCCTCCGACTCAGTCGCGTAGATTCTCCAATCTTCCGGTGGCTCAAGGCTCTCTGACAGAATCCGCACCTGCGCCCTGATAAATGCTGATTTCAGTTCGAAGACAGTTCGACTTGCATCCATTGCCCCATATCGACACCTGCGTCCTCAATTCGACAACCGAAGGGATCGCGCAGACAGCTCCGTCGCGTGGAATCTCGCTATCGATAACAGATCACGTGATATTGACAATACATTCTCGCTGTGGGATCCAATGATCTTTCCTACGTAGCAATTGTGTCCATTATAGTTCTGCGACTTGCAATTTATGCGAAGTGGTGGTCAAAATAATTAATGATCATGCAAGTCCCTTCCTCGGCTTTTGTGAGCACATTAGAGAGGTAGATGGCTTACGCTCTACTTTTCTCTAACCTCGGCAATCCACCAGGTGTTCTGGCCTGGTTGCTACTCCGCAGTAACAAATACCGGCCTCAGCCCAGCAAGTTGATACGGAGTGACTTGGTTAACTGAAGTCAAATAAATCCTCCATTAAGATACCGCACGGCTTTCTTCAATTTTATTCTGCATCATGCTCGAAAACAAGAAGCCAGTGGGCTTACTCTTCGACATTGGAGGAGTATGTGTAAGGCTGCCGAATAATAACCATATCTTTGAAGACTTTACTGATGAGGGCTAGGTCGTTTCTCCCTTTCAAGCCATTCTGGACTATGAGCTTGCAAACAGCATCCCCAAGGGATGGGTAAATTTCAGTATCTCGCGCACATCGCCAAACGGCAGCTGGCACAAGCTTGAGCGAGGCGAGATAAAACTGGATGCGGACTTCTTCAAAGCGTTCAACGGAGATCTACGAAACCCAGATTTATGGAAGCAGTTCCATGAGAGACTGCAGAAGAATCAAACAACCGGTGTGCCAACATCGGCACCCCCACTGCCCGAAATCGACGCAGAATGGCTCTTCTGGGAGATGATGCGAGTGTCAAGGACGCCAGACCCATACATGTACCCGGCGCTGCAGAAGCTGAAAGCGTCAGGGCAGTTCATTATTGGTGCTCTGTCAAATACAGTCATATTCCCTGATGGGCATCCTTATAACAGTGACTCAAACGGCGTCAAGTCGCAATTCGACTTTTTCATCTCATCGGCGCATACAGGGCTCAGGAAGCCAGATCCCAAGATCTATGCAGCTGCGCTGAAGGAGATGGACACATTGGCGAAAAAGAGAGGCTTGCAAGGGGTAGAGCCTTCAGATGTTATCTTCCTCGATGACATCGGGGAGAACTTGAAGGCCGCAAAGAAGGCTGGATTACGAACAATCAAGGTCAACCTTGGCCGGACACAGGATGCTATCAGAGAATTAGAGAAGATCACTGGCCTGCAATTGCTAGAAGCTGGGGACAAGGCCAAGCTTTGAGCCGAAAGGAACTGCAACGCAAATACTGCGCCAAATGCGATAGATATTCTTTTTGTAGATTATTCTTCTTTGAGCCATATTCTTCATGTGCAATATTCCAAATTAATTAGAATAGTGTAGTGTTATTCATAGTATTTTTCGAACTGTCTACCGATACTGCGTAGTGCTGTCTGTACTCCGTTGTGGTTGTCCCCCGCTCGTGGCCAACCTCAATTTGTGCTGGGATGCAGCCACGCTAAGCGAAACCATCCACAAAGTCAGCCCACGAAATTTCCAACCTCTTCAGTCCTCCTCTGCAGCCAACGTCGACAACTCGGTCTTCAATTCCCGGCAACAGTCAAGATGGTGAGTCTTATTGTTGTTTCAGGTGAATGATAGCACCTGCTGCATTGTTCACCTTTCTACCAAGTCGTCCTGGCGATCGGCGAAATTTTTTTTATTTCTTGTTGGTCGCTGTGTGGGACGGGAAACGGGTCTTTGCAAGATGCTTCGGACGCCTGTGTTTGAATGTTTCTGAAGCGCAAATTGCTGACTCGGGGGTTTTTCTTCTTGTAGCCTTTCCACAAGCTCGTCAAGAACAGCGCGTACTACAGGTGAGTCTCTGGGTGGAATTATCATTTGGGTGACCGCAGAACTAACAATCTCAACCACAGTCGCTACCAGACTAAGTACCGCCGCCGCAGAGAGGGCAAGACCGACTACTATGCCCGTAAGCGCCTGATCACGCAGGCCAAGAACAAGTACAACGCTCCCAAGTACCGTCTCGTTGTGCGCTTCACCAACCGCGACATCATCACCCAGATCGTCTACTCTGAGATCACCGGTGATAAGGTGTTCGCCAGCGCCTACTCCCACGAGCTCAAGCGCTATGGTATCACCCAGGGTCTGACCAACTGGGCTGCCGCCTATGCCACCGGTCTGCTCCTTGCCCGCCGTACCCTCAAGAAGCTCGGCCTTGACGAGCAGTTCACCGGTGTTGAGGAGGCCGATGGTGAGTACAAGCTCACCGAGGCCGTCGAGACCGACGATGGCACCCGCCGCCCATTCAAGGCCTTCCTTGACGTTGGTCTTGTCCGTACCTCCACTGGTGCCCGTGTCTTCGGTGCCATGAAGGGTGCTTCCGACGGTGGTATCTTCATCCCCCACTCTGAGAACCGCTTCCCCGGTTTCGACATTGAGTCCGAGGAGCTCGACGCTGAGACCCTCCGCAACTACATCTTCGGTGGCCACGTCTCTGAGTACATGGAGACCCTCGCCGACGACGATGAGGAGCGCTACCGCAGCCAGTTCGCCAAGTACATCGAGAACGAGATCGATGCTGGTGACCTCGAGGACATCTACACTGAGGCCCACAAGGCCATCCGCGAGGACCCCTTCAAGAAGGACGAGGACGAGGAGCCCAAGAAGTCCAAGGAGGAGTGGAAGGCCGAGAGCAAGAAGTACAGAAAGACCAAGCTGTCCCACGAGGAGAGGAAGGCTCGCGTTGAGCAGAAGATCCGTGAGCTCGCTGCTTAAATGTGCTTCAGTGAAATGGCAGCTGGGTCATGTTGGAAGTATCACCGAGCGGGATAGTTCAACAAAAAGTGTACTTCTCACACAACCCCAAAAAAAAGCAATTTTCAAGGGAACTATGTTCTGCCAAATCGGCGTTTTTCTCGAGTGTAAATTGATGGGACCTTTACTACGAGCGCATGTTTTACGTCTGGGATATCCTTGGGGTTTTTTTTTTCGGAGCAATTAGCAGGGTTTTCTTTTCAAGGGAATCAATCGTTTGAACCATTCTAATTGCTCCGGTAATGTGTCGACATGCCAGGCTTTCGATCCCGGTAGCCAGCCGAGTAATCAAAACAACATGGTGCTGCCAGTTAGTAGGACCCAAATCGAAAGCTACGCGATTAGAACATATCCGTACTAAAGCCCAAACCGTCTGCGCTGTACCTCAGGATACCTGGGTGAATATTGTGGGCCTGGTCAGTGGGCTATTGGGTTACTGTGGATCATATGCATAGGAGACTATTGGCGAGCTAAGCGATGAAGCATGCCTTAGGTTGTAGTGTGGACCCCTACTTACCCTAATCTGGACATATCGAACATTCGGAGAACGCTCGGAGCGTATTTCCCTGATGGGCATTATTGAGGTCTAAGATCTTGCATGTCACTAATAGACATGGTAAAGAACAGTGTCAATTTGTTCGTCTCTGTGCCGAGAGGCGGTGGAGGATTCAGTGACTACTTAGTGTACCCGGTAAAGGACATACTGGTACCGAAAATAATGTGCATATTCAATAATCGTACTCAATGGCTTGAGAGAGAGATATATATATGTAGGAAAGACGGGTGACTCTTCCCAAGTATGTACAGGCTTCTTGCATTACTCACTGGATAATGGCATACATTCCAATACTGCTCATTTTTACAAGAACTGGGATAACCATGATATCAAAGGATTTGTGGAATACATGAACAAATTGTGAGTTGAAGCTGGGTAAAAGCCGGCATTGGCTCTTGCTCTATTGCAGGTAGCACTTAATAACCAAGGCTGGAGTATCTACTTCTTCACTGCTACGGAGTATTCTCGCCACTCAATTATGATCACGCGGACTGGTCGGTCCTCTCCATCCTTCAGCCTCGGGGTACTACGTACTGACACGGCAGGTCGATTCCCTCGCCTCGTACAATTCTTGCAGAGCTTCATAGAATGGCATCTTTCTGGTGAACTGGTGACTCGACCCTGAGTCGTAAATGGATTGAAGAGAAGCAACTGGCAACACTCATGCGTGTGCTTGGACGAATGACGATGGGTTCCACTTTATTAGCACACAGGCTACGTCACGTGCGTACTGTGGACAAACTCTAGCCTCATTTCCACGCTGGTATCGTGGTATTGCGCAAGACACAATTAATAATATTACCAGACGGATACCAATTTCCCACAGGAATGGTTGTGTGGCCTTGGCGGCTCGTCGTGTGAGGGATGTCCTGTCTAGTGGGTAATATTATCCAAAGCACTCGAGCGGAATCAGCGGATTGACTTGGGACTGTCAGGTGGCGAGCTTTAGGCCGGCACGTACTCTGTACAGTAGGACGGGTTGCACCGACTCAAGGAGGAGTAGACAGCAAGTAAGGGTTTGTTTCCCATGATGAATTAAACAATATGAGTAGATGACTAGGTAGATATTTCTGGTAAGGCAAGGCAGTTTACTTGGGGTATGCGACAGTACAGAAGTGATACAGTTGTACAACGTCTCCTTGTTGAGGGCGAGGCGGAGGACTTCAAGCCACAAGCACTCTATGGAGGGGATGCTCACCTAACCAGTCTCCTACAGACCAGTAACTGCAAGACAGATAAAAGGTACATAGTACCTGCCTTACTTTTACCCAGAGTGAGACAGACACATTCGGTGTCTCCCAGCATCTTTATTAGACATCCTCAGCAACTCCTTGCCAACTACATACATACACTGCCAGAGTAGTCTACCAATTAATAGTTACTAGTTAGTTAAGTAGTTCTCGGAGTCGTGACCTCAGCATTTCTGCTCCCCAGGATCGTCTCCCCCCACTTCACTCCACCGGTGTTGGGTCAGCCAGAAGACCAATTGATCTGGGTCCTTTTTGGCTAGCAACTTACCAGCGAACTACCTTAAGTCTAGCCTGCTGAACCGTCCTGATCGCCATCACCTCCTACTCCTACCTAGTCTTCTAAGAAGTATGGCTTAATTTTTCCCTTTCCTCTTAAATCCTCTGCACCCCTCACTTGTCTCATTTTTTTTTTTTTTTGATTGATATTGCTCCTTCTTTCACCCGTTCTCCGTTCTGCATCTCGAGACCCGATTTTCATATCTCTACCTGTCACCATGCCCACGTTGCGCGGTTGTTGGATGATGGGATACTCATACCGTCGCCGCTTTTAAGTTGTAACCGCGCGAAGCGATCTCTGCATCTCTAGTCACTATTGATCGATTTCTCGAGTCGCGAGTATAAACGAAACCTCGTCAGAATAAACTAATACCGTCTTTCCTTACTATACTATCTCCGACAGAGCGGACCATGCGCCCTGTCGCCTGACAATACCGATCTTTCCTCACCACCCGACGATTAATGGCTACATCATCTCTTTGAACGATCAACATCTATTCAGTTCCGCAGCGAGCCACAGGTCATAATGGAAGGGGTTGAGACTGTGGATGTGAGCTGGCTCCATCATTCGCAGAAAGGTGCGATTAGACCCCGCCCGACGCATTCTCTTATTGATCCAGATCCTCTGTTGGGCCAAAACGCTTGCGTCTGGAGTCTGGATTCTGAAAACCAGCAGACGCTAACTACGCTTCATCAGACCATCTGTCCCGCTGCAAATCGGCTTCTTCCCAAGTCAGTGATAGATCGTGCGCTGATGCAGAATCCACTGCCGCGCAGCCATGCATAGTAGAGCGCACTACTTCCTCTAAAACAAACACCTCCCCATCCCCGCGAGAACCTGTCTCTCCTGCATACGAAACTCCAAAAGATGCCCAGAACGTCGGAAGCCGAGCTGCGACATGGAATGGAAGCGACAAAGAAGAGAAAGCGGCGGAGAACAAGGCTGTTGAACAGTCTCAGACACCCCAGAGAAGCACACCACGCTCGGTCACAGGAAGAAGGAATTCATGGATTTCTAGTATAAGTTCCAAGTTCTCTTCAGGGTCTACTCCTCCTTCACAATCCTCCATGAAGTCGCCAAGTCCCAAGGCCACCTCACCGATGTCGAAGCTCGATATGCCCAACCCCTTTGGAGCAGCCTATTCTCCCAAGGACAAGGAGGAAGAGAGGAGGGACGAACACACTCCGCTTGTCTCTACGTCGCCAAAGGGGCCATCTTTTCTCCATAGTGCCTTTCGAAAGTTTTCCTCTTCTGGAAAGGTGGTAGCGAACGGGGCCATCTGTGAGCGCCGAGTGATGAACATTGATCATGACAGGGACAGGTGTAAGATTCCGGACCTCGACCAAAAGAAATTGCGTCGTGTTGCTTTCTGTGTAGATGTTGAGATCGCTGGGATATCGCGACGGGAATCAGACGAGGAGAGTCCCACTGAGGCGAGCAACCAGAAAGCCAAAAGGTC